GGGTATATATCTAGATGATGATATTATATTTTGAATTAATTTTTGTATAAGGTAAGTTTAAGTAAAGATTCTTTTCTCCTCCTTGCCCTCCACTCTCCCCCTCATCCTCCTCCTCCTCCCCTTTTTTTTTCTCCTCCTTTTTCTTTTGCTTATGGATGTCTGATTGCTCCAGCATCATTTGTTGAAAAGGCATGACAGGGTTTTTTGTTGTTTTCTTTTTATGTTCCAGCCAGAGTTTTACCCTAAACTAAAAACCAGACCATATCATTCTCTGGTTTAAATCTTCAATGGCTTCTTATTGCACCAAGAGGACACCGACTCTCCAACCTCATCCTGGGTCACTTTCCACTATGTCCAGCCACCCTACCTTCTTCTCAGTTCCCTGAACACTTCAATGCCTTTGCAGTTGCCTTTCCCTCTACTTGGAAGGTTCTTCCACTAGCTCCCCACCGGGCCTCTAGTTTACAAAATGAAGAAAGCCCAGAGGGAATATGAGAACAATGAAGAAGGAGGGCCTCACATGTCCCAAGTGAGGTTTGACCTTTGAGCTCAGAAGTTGCTATAGTGACCAAATCAAGGGAATGGTGGACCATCAGAGGGGATATTGAGGCACAAAAACTGCAGCCTTTATAAATCAGGGAAAAAGGAACTTGGAGGGACTGTGTCCCCCTTCCCATGTGGGAGTCTGTGCTGTGAGATTCTTTCCTCTTCCCCACGTGGGAGTCTGTGCTTGTTCAATAAATGTCCATCTTTGTTATTCCATCTTCTGCCCGTGGTTTCATTCTTCGACTCTGATGGACAAAGAATTAGGGAAGCCATCCTGCCCTGGAGAACACATTGTGTTCTAGTCCAAAAATCCTGTATCAATGTGAAGTGTGAAGGTTGTATTATGAAGTGTGTGTGTGTGTGTTTCTGTTCTTGGGACATCTCCCCACCCTCTACGCAGCAGAGCCTATCTCCTAAGATTGTGTGATTTAATCACCCGTCTGTCTCTCTTGCACTAACTGCTACAGTATTTCCTATGCGGTGGGCACTCAATAACATACCTGCAACAGGTGCGCTATAAACATTGGTTCAATAAATGAACACACGTTGAACTGAATTATTACAAGTTAGCAGAATTTCTAAATATCTGTTTCTTCTCAGCCACACACACACAAAAAAAATGATTGCTACTCTGGATTATGCTAATGCGCTTTTCGTTAATAAAAATTACATAATAATCAAACATTCTGAGAGTATTTGTAACTGGGGAAGAAGTTCAGCCTTACATACAGGCATATATATATATATATATAGAGAGAGAGAGAGAGAGAGAGAGAGAGAGAGAGAGAGAGAGAGATAGAGATTGTTCCTCTGAAGGGCTGGCATTGGCTATAAAAAGCAGTTTGTCCTTCTCTGCATGTCTCTTCCTTCTATTTATCTTAAAAAGGATCTCTATTTGGTGGTAAAATGGAATCAGTCCAAAGCAAGACCAAAGAAAAGGCGGAGGGCAGATACGACGAGTTATGTCCTTCGCGCCACCCCGTAGTTCGCGGCCGCCGCCGGGGACGTGCGCGCGCATTTTGAAAGCCCGGCGGGTTCCCGGCGCTGCGGGAGCTGACGGACGTTGTGCTGGGCCGGCCGTGGGCGGCCCCTGGGACCAGAGTTTGAGGCAGCCTTGGCCTGGACCTCCCGTCGGCCGCGGGCTCCTCCTCCACCTGCAGCGTGGCCGCCGCGGCCGGGTAAGCGGGGCTCCCCTCCTCGGTCCCCGGCCGCGCGCGGGCCGGGGGCGGGCGGGGCGTTCGCGTCGGCACCGGCTCGCGGCCTGGCGGGCGAGTGGAAGCCGTTGGACGGGAGGCGTTAAACCGGGAACTCTCTTAGGGCTCCTCTCCGCGACCCAGACTCGAGTGCGCGCCTGCATCGGGGGTAGGATGGGGTTTCGGGAAAGAAGTGGCTCTTCCTCGAAGCGAAGCCTGGCGGTCTATCTGTACCTGTTGATGGGGGCTCCGGGGGAGAAGACGTTGGTCAGATAGATTTGGGACACACACACACACACACCCGGTCCAGCAAGCTGACATGGCGATTCGGAGGGCTCGCGGGGAGGCCCCGGTTTTAGGCCGGTGTCAGTGGGGCGCCCGATCCCAACACCAGGCCTCATGCCCGGGGGAAACTGTCGTCTCAGTTTCATGTCTTTTTAAAAATATATATATATATATATATATATTTTTTATTGATTTTTTACAGAGAGGAAGGTAGAGGGATAGACAGGGAGAGGGATAGAAGGGAGAGGGATAGAAACATCGATGAGGAAAAAAAAAACATCGATCAGCTGCCTCCTGCACACCCCCTACTGGGGATGTTCCCGCAACCAAGATACATGCTCTTGACCAGAATCGAACCCGGGACCTTTCAGTACGCAGGCTGACGCTCCATCCACTGAGCCAAACCGGTTTCGGCTCAGTTTCATCTCTTAAGGGAGGTTAGAACCGGTGGAGGGTTTGTGGTGGGGATGGAGGGGGCTGGCGTTTGAGGACGAAGCGTGCGCGCAGTTGCCTACTTTGAATCCCTCCACTAATGTGGCTCCCGGTTTTCAGATGAGCTGCCTGCGCAGGTGGGAGAAGGATTTGAACCGCCAGCCCCTCCATAAACTCCTAGAAGAGGGGATAAACAGTCTGAGCCTCTAGTCCCAAGAGTCCTGCTGCGGGTGCAGAATGCACAGAACCTCAGGAATAACCTGATCAGAACTTCCCCTTTGGTTTGCATCCCGCGTTTCCCCTCTTTGTTGCTTCTATTGGTTGTCTACGCTTTAGCTTTATCTATGTATTTGTTTAGCCGTATGGTGGGTTCCAAGATAATGAAAAAGGGGTCTTCAGTGTGACTCTAAATAGACAGTGGTGATTGTAGCTACCTTTAAAAAAATGAACAAACTTCTCAATAGGGAATTAAAGCTGGACCTTAGAGATGATTTCTTTTTCCTTGGCAAGAGTTTTTATGTTTTAATATATTTTATTGATTTTTTTTACAGAGAGGGAGAGAGAGCTAGAAACATCGATGAGAGAGAAACATAGATCAGCTGCTTCCTGCACACACCCCCCCCTCCCAAAACTGGGGATGTGCCCGCAACCAAGGTACATGCCCTTGACCCGAATTGATCCTGGGACCCTTCAGTCCGCAGGCCGACGCTCTATCCACTGAGCCAAACCGGTTTCAGCGGCACAGAGTGTTTAAAGGTGCTGTTTTTTAAGGGTTCTACAAAAAATTAAACCAAATATTTTTTATAGACAAACCAAATGAGCTTTAGACATGTAGGCACAATTTGTTTTACAGTAACTAATAATATGAAACCTCACTTTTAGAAAAAAAAAGAAAAATTAATTTTGTAAAAAAAAAATCTTTAAGAAGTATGTTATGGAAGAAATAAAAAGCTCAGATTAATTTGCATATATGTGCAGTATGTACATTTTATTTGCATAGGTGATTTTTATAATAGATTGTTGAGATATAATTCACCTAGCATAAAATTCATCCTTTAAAAGTATATAATTTAGTGATATACTCAGTCCTATTGTTGAATATATTAAGCCACTACCTAATTTAGAACATTTTCATCACCCCAAAAAGAATCCCCACACCCACTTCTTCCCAACCCCCTGACAGCTGCTAATCTATTTTTGTCTGGATTTGCCCATTCTAGGCATTTCTTATAAGTGGAATTACCTATTTATTCATCATCTGATGGATATTTCTGTTCTCTTTTTTGGGCTACTATAAATAATGCTGCTTGACAATTTCTTTAAAGGGTATGAAATCCCTGTTAACTACTTTCAGGGAGTGTGAGAAGATTACTTTTTACCTTTTTGTAGCGGTGATTTTTTTTTTTTTAAGTCAAGTTCATATATTTTTAATTAAGACAAAAAGTGTCCTAGTTAGGGAAATGAAGGGACCCAAGTTCGATTCTGATCCAGGGCATATGCCTTGGCTGCATGCTCAGTTCTGGCCCCGCCTTGTGCAGGAGGCAACGTGTCACAAATGAGACACATCCATGTTTCTTTCTCTCTGCTGGGTTTGGTTGGGTTGCGAGCTCAGTCCCTTGTAGGGGTAGGGTAATGCATGAAAGCAGCTGGTGGATGTGTCTCCCTCATCAGTGTTTCTCTCTCTCTACCTTCCTCTCTGGAAAAAAGAAACTATATAAAAAAAGACAACAAAAGGAGATATATGTACTAATATTTGTAATACTTTAAACAAAATAAAATTTTAAAAAAAGAAACTAGGAATGTTTGTAAGGACCAAAAAACAAAACAAAACAAAAAAACAGAAAATGTATTTTACTAATAGTATGACCTTGGGTAAGTAATTGTACCTGTCTGGGGTTCGTTTTCTCGTTTCTCATGTAAATAAAATTGGACTAGTTTTATCTTTTTTCTTTCTTTTTTAAAAAATATTTTTTACCATGAGTGAAAACTTGATTGCTCCAAGCAATATGTGAATGTCACCAACACCTCATTGGGGCAAATATATTAAAAAAGCACAATCATCTCAACTTCTCAACTAACGCTGTGTACAGAAGCTTCCCAGGCCACACCCTCAGCACAACGGTTGCCTTTCCATGGAAGCAGCTGCACATGCTGGAGCCTCCTTTGCAGATGCAGCCCTAGGCACACATGGAGTGGGGTGTGGGGGGAAACAGTAGCTTTTTCAACATGTTTTACAGTTGCAAGCTGTGCATTTGTAGTTGTCTCCACAGATGCATATTCCTCCAGATAAGCAGGAGCATTCCCTGTGGTCCATGGTCCAGGTGTCTTATGAGGCTCCCCTGCTGGCTGTGCTGGAGAAGGGAGGTTCTGGACTAGATATTTTTTATGTCTTTTTCAGTTTTCAAATTAATGCTTTATATGAGAACTAGTATAGAAGGTTTTTCTTAATGAATTAGAGTTGTGCATGCAGGGAGACACATCCAATTATAACTGCAATGTAACTTTCAATTTATTTTTATCATAGGACCTAGAGTGATTATTACAATGGACGAAATCAATAATTTTAAGACACCAAGCAAATTATCTGAAAAAAGAAAATCTGGTAAGATAGGTATACTAGTAAAACTTTTCTTTTGTTATTGTTATTAAAACTGTAGTTTGATGCTTTAATTACCATCCACAATTTTAGAATAAGTCATCTTTATAATGTTGATCTTAACAAATTAGACTAACACTGTAGGCCAGGACATGGTCATCTGTGACCTGATTTCCTTTATTCCTGATTATCATGAATGTGTATTAAACTTTGTCAAGAGCATTTTCAGAATATATTGGGATAGTTTTATTTCTTAGTCTGTCAATATGGTAAATTCTGTTAATTTTAACATGTTAAAACAAACTTTCACTCTTGGGGTAAAGCCAATGTAGTCATGAGGTATCTATAATAATAAAAGTGTAATATGCTAATTAGACCAGACAGCCAAACAACCTTCCAGCCATCATTCCAAATGTCCTTCTGGATGAAGCCCTGGCAGTGCGGGCCGAGGCAGAAGCAGTTAGGGGCAATCAAGCAGGCATGCATAGTGGTTAGGGGTGATCAGGCAGGCAGGCAGGCATACGGTTAGGAGCCAGTGGTCATGGATTGCGAGAGGGATGTCCGACTGCTGGCTTAGGCCTGATCCCTGGGGTCCTGGATTGTGAGAGGGTGCACAAATTTTATGCACCAAGCCTCTAGTTTTATATATAACTGGATTCAATTTGCTAATATTTTCTGTGTTCAAGTGGGGATCCTTCAGCCTGGCCTGCCCCCTCTCACAGTCCGGGAGCCCTCAGGGGTGGGAAGCGACCTGGCAATCAGGGGAAGGCGACTTCCCCATCACACCTTTGCTGCTGCCATTGTCGGCAGTGCAAGGCTCAGCCGGCCCTAGTTACCTGAGCCTCGGCAGCCACCATCCGAGGCTTGCCTGTGCTTCAGGTAGGCCCTGGGCAGCTGGGGGGCTGAGGGTATGGGGGACTCCAGAGGCAGGCACAGGGAGTGGCCGGACCACGTGCCTGCCACCCAGGCAGGGCTGAGGGGACTGGGCACTGCCATCTTGTGGCTCTAGGTGCTGCTATCTTTGAGGGCTGACAGCCAATTATCTTATTCTCTCCATCTTTATGAGGGTGTGATGGTTTATTAGCATATTCCCTCTTTATTAGATAGGATAATGTTTTGTAATATAGATATACTATAATTATGACCAATGATTATTACTAAGGTTTTTCTGCAGCTACAAAAGTGAATCCCAATATTCAAATATATATGCTTGCATGCATGTATGTGTATGATGTCTTTGGGCACATGCTGTATTGAGGCATTGGCAAACTATTTGTAAAGGGCCAGATAGTAAATAGTTTATGAGACTGACAGATAGTAAATAGTTTAGACTTCATTGGCCATACAGAAACATTATTGCATTTTTTTATACTTTTTTTATTTTTATTTTAAATCAACCCTTTCAAAAACAATTCATAACTTCTGGATCATATAAAAACACACTTCAGTATTACTGTAAGATAGAGCTCCAAAAGTAGACTTGATCAAGGGGTCTCCATTTAAAACTAGGATGGTTAGTGTCAGATTGCTCTCCAAAAGATTATGCCAATTAATACTCTTATCAGTAGTGTATTGCAAATGTTTAGATGCATTTGTCTTTCAAATACTAATTTTATTTTTTAATTCTTTCTGACACTTAGTGTTATGTTCAACTCCATGTATAAAAATTCCTGCCTCTCCATTTATGCAGAAGCTTGGCTATGGCACAGGGGTAAATGTCTACCTAATGAAAAGGTGAGTATATGATTTTATTTTATTCTTTTTTTATTTTATTTTTTTAATAAATTTTTAATGTTCATATTATGATATTACAGATGTTCCTTTTTTTTTCCCCCCTCCACCATTGCTCTCCTCCACCAGGTTCCCACCCCACCCTCTGCCCTTTCTCCACTCCCCATTGTCCTCATCCATAGGTGCACAGTTTATGTTCAGTCTCTTCCCACATCCCCCTCCCCCCTTTTCCCCAAGAATCGTCAGTTCACTCCCCTTCCATACCTCTGATTCTATTATATTCAACAGTTAATATTGTTCATCAGATTTTTTTTTTAATTCCCTTGGTTTTTAGATTCACTTGTTGATAGTTACGTATTTGTTGTTCATAATTTTTATCTTTATTTACTTTCTCTTCTGAAAGAACCCCCTTCAGCAGTTCATATAATTCTGGTTTGGTGGTGATGAATTCATTTAGCTTTTTTTTATTAGTGAAGCTCTTTATCTGACCTTCGATTTTGAGTGATAGCTTTGCTGGATAGGTTATCTTTGGCTGTAGGTTCTTACTGTTCATCACCTTGAATATTTCTTGCCATTCCCATCTAGCCTGCATGATTTCTGTTGAGAAATCAGCTGGCAATCGTATGGGTGCTCTTTTAATAGGTAACTACCTTCTTTGTTCTTGCTGCTTTTAATATTCTCTCTTTGTCTTTTGCTCTTGGAATTTTAATTATGATTTGTCTTGGTGTGGTCCTCTTTGGATTCCTTTTGTTTGGAGTTCTGTGCGCTTCCTGGACTTGTAAGTAATTCTTTCACCAGGTGGGAGAAGTTTTCTGTCACTATTTCTTTCAGTATGTTTTCGATATCTGTCTCTCTCTCATCTTCTGGGACCCCCATAATTCTGATGTTTGTTCTCTTGAAGTTGTCCCAGAGGTTTCTTACATTATCTTCAATTTTCTGGATTCTCTTGCCTTCTAGCTTCTGTGGAGGAGTGTCTTCTGGCTCTTTATGTTCCAAATCTTTGACTTGATTCTTGCGATTTTCTATTCTGTTTTTAGGACTCTGTATAATATTTTTTATTTCAGACAATGTATTCTTTATTTCTTGTTGATCCCTTATCATTTCTTGTTGATTCCTTATTAATTCTAGTTGATCTCTTTTCATATCCTCATAGGTGTTATCAATCTTTTCTAGGAAATTCTTGAAAAACCTTATAAGCGTAGATTTGAACTCTGTATCCAGTCACTTTTTGTCCTCCATTTCTTTCGTTTGTGATCTATTTCGTTGTCGCATTTTGCATCTACAGCTGGGGCGGAGTTTCAGGGTGGAGCCTACAGTCTTGGCTTCCATCAGCCCCGCCTTATGTGGTTCCTGGGTCTCAGGGTCCTTCAGTACTCGCTGCAAGCGCCTCTGAAAGGTGCCCTCGATTTTCGCCTGCTACCAAACAGTTTAGGATTTCCCCCAATGAGCCTGGTATTGGGGTTCAGTTCAATTGTAAGTGGAGTTGGAGGTGGTGTTCAGAACAGTCTGGAATCCCTGTCTCCTTCCCGCCAGGGCAATCCCACGGCACAGCCAACCGTCCCTTCTCTGCGCGCAATGTGCGCGCCTCCGGGACCTCCTTTCGCCGCTGCCCCGGGGTTCTGCCTTATAGCCAGCTTCCTCTGGATGAGCCTGGGTCCCTGGGGTCTGGCCTAGAACTGGGGTTCAGAGCAGTCAGAACAGGGGCCCAGCACAGTCAGAGCTTTTATCTCCTTCCCGCTAGGGAACGCCAGCCAGGCACTCAGCTGCCCTCCTCTCTGGCTCCGCCCTCCTCTCCTGCTCCATCCTCTCCGCTTGCACCGCATGTCTCCGTACCTTAGGCTTTTATAGCTCCTTCGTACTTCCTTCTGGTTTTCTCCTTGCTTCTCGTTGTAGAATTTCCAGTCAGTCGACTTTCCTGTAGTTCTGGGTAATGTCCATTTTATATTTTAGTTGTATTTTATTGAAATTGTTTGCGGCTGCGGCTAGGTGTTTACCTGGGCAGCCATCTTGGATTCTTCTGAGTATACGATTTTAGATTAACCTTTTAAATGGAACCATAGTTCAGTTGTACTTGGAGACAAAGGAATAGGAAAATTCAAGTATTTAGATTTGAGGTATTTTCCTGTACCTGCTGTATTCAGTCTCAGAACCTTTTATAACTTTACCAGAGCCCTACCTGTTATACATTTCTTTTAACTTTTCTCCTAATGGACTATTAAAGGAACAGTAATTTACCTTATCATTTTTCCTGACTAACACAACATGTCTTTAGGTTTATATTGTTTCTAGATAGAAATGCTTTCTTTAATATAAAGCTAATTAATTGAGAATAGCATAGCAATAATATGTAAGTGGGTGTTTTGTGTGTGTTGTTAATAAGTTCTGTATATAATAATAAAAAAGCTTCATATGGTGGCTGATTGAAAAATAGCAGTCCCTGCCTGGTCCTACTACTCCTTGTAATGTGTCCCTGTCAGCCTGGGATTCCCCTCCTGCAACCTGGAGACCCTTTGTTTTCCTGGTGAAGGGGATCTCCTGTTGTTCTGTGCCTCACGCCTTACTGTTTCTTGGTTTATATTTTGTTTTGTTTAAGGACATTTGGTAGCTCCCTATGAAAAAGTACACAGGAGATATATTTAAAAATAAAATATTTTAATGGATTTCAGAGAGGGCAGGAAAGAGAAACATGATGAAAGAGAATCATTGATTGGCTGCCCCCTGCATGCCCCCTACTGGGGATCGAGCCCTCAACCCTGGGCATATGCCCTTGTCTAGAATCGAACGTGGGACCCTTTAGTCCACAGGCTGACACTCTATCCACTGAGCCAAACTGACTAGAGCCACAGGAGGTGCGTTTTTGAGAATTGGCGTGTATGTATTTATTTATTTATTTATTTATTTATTTATTTATTTATTTATTTATTTATATTTTATTGAGTTTTTATAGAGAGGAAGGGAGAGGGACAGAGAGCTAGAAACATCGATCAGCTGCCAAGGTACATGCCCTTGACTGGAATCGAACCTGGGACCTTTCAGTCCACAGGCGGAAGCTCTGTCCACTGACCCAAACTGGTTTCGGTGAGAATTTGCATTTTTGAAATGTTTTCATTCTACACTAATACTTGAATGGCTCTTTTGGTTTTTTGGGCCAGAATTCTTTTTTGGACATAATTTTCCTCCACAAGTTTAAGGATTTTGTTCCATTATTTGTTAGCCTGCTGAAAATTCTGAAGTGTTCCCACTGAGAATTCTGAAGCCTTCCTGATTGCTGATTCTTTTTGTTACCTGTTTTATGTTAGCTATTTCTCCCAGTGGTCTCCCAGATCCATTCATCACCAGTGTTCTTAAATTTCACAGTGACATGCATGGGTGTGGGCCTCTTGTATTCTGAAAATTCTTGTTCTTAAATTTTTAAGAAGTTATTAAAATTCCTTACTGACATTTTCCACCCCTATTTCCTATTCTTTATGTGGATGTTCCGCTTACTGGACTGATCTCTGGTTTTTCGCTGATTTTCCTATGTTCTCTTTGTTCTATTTTCTGAGAGATTTTCCCAACTTTATCTTCTTATACTTCTCTTGAGTTTTTCAATTTTGTCTATTTTGTTTTTAATTAATTATCTGAAAATTCTCTTTTTTAAAATGGCATCCTAAGTTTTGGTTGTGATAGCACATATGAAAACTCATTGAATGTTTAGTATGCGTATGGTTATGAATTACTGTGTGTCAACTTTACCAGTAAACTCAACGTTTAGCTACTTCCTTTTTTAAAAAAAACTATATTTTATTGATTTTTTTTTTTACAGAGAGGATGGGAGAGGGAGAGAGAGTTAGAAACATCGACGAGAGAGAAACATCTATCAGGTGCCTCCTGCACACTCCTTAGTGGGGATGTGCCCAAAACCAAGGTACATACCCTTGACCGGAATTGAACCCAGGACCCTTTAGTCCACAGGCTGATGCTCTATCCACTGAGCCAAACTGGTTTTGGCAGATTTTTTTTCTTTAGAATTTGACCATTTTGTCTTTTAAATTTGTTGGTTAAAAAGTTTTATTTTTTTAATCTTAATTGTTGAAAGTATTACATATGTCTCCCTCCTCTCCACTTGACCTACTCCAGCCCACTAAAAGTTTTATTTATTCACTTTTATTTTTTAATTTCTGCTGTTTCTATAGTTATGTCCTCATTTTTTATTGCAATATTATTTGTACCTCCTTTTATTTTTTCCTTGTGCAATCTGTTTTAATAGCCTTTTTAGTAAACTAACTTTTAGCTTGATTAAGTATTTTATTCAGATTTTATAGTTTTTGTCATTATATAGATTAGGATATGTTATGGAAAAGGTAAAGGATGGACTTGGTCCCCCTCTCTGCCTGGCCTGGTCACCCCCAACTTCCCCTGCCCCCCACTGGCCTGGTCACCCCCAACTGCCCCTCCCTTCCGGCCTGGTTGCCCCACACAGCCTGCTGTTCAGTTGTTTGGTCGTCCCTCATTAATCCCTCTGCCAGCCTTGTCACCCCACACAGCCTGTGTTCGGTCATCTGTCCAGTTGTTTTGGTCATGATGGCCCCTGGCTTTTTATATATTAGGATTATTATTGCCTTAGCTCATGTCTTTGAGTATTAAGTAAAGGTAGAAATGGATTGGTTAGTGGCGAGGCACAATATTTGTTGGAGAACAGTCTGTTATATGGATGATTACATAAGGGCCAAATGTTCCTTACATGTCTCTTATTTAAATTGTTTTTTAGAGATTAGTGTTTGTTATTTAGCATTCTAGAACTTGTCTGTGGTACATATAGTTAAACTAGTGGCCCGGTGCATGAAATTTGTGCATGGGGGGTGGGGTGTCCCTCAGCCTGGCCTGCACCCTCTCCAATCTGGGATCCCTCTTGAAATCTGGGATCGCTTGCTCCTAACTGCTCACCTGCCTGCTGGCTTGCTCACCCCCAACTGACCTCCTTCTTGCTGGCCTTATGACCCCCAGCTGTCCCCCCTTGCCAGCCTGCTCACCCCCATTATCCCTTCAGCTGACCTGCTTGCCCCCAACTGCCCCCCACACCACCACCACCCAGCTGGCCTGCTCACCTCCAATGAGCTCACCTGGCGGTCTGCTTGCCCCAAACTGCCCACCTGCCAGCCTGCTCACCACCAACTGTTCCCCCTTCCCCCATCAGCTTGCTCGCTCCCAACTGTGCCCCCGCCCCCCCCCCGCCAGCCTGCTCGGCCCCAACTGTCTCCCCACCCCCCACCCACACCTCCTTTGCTGGCCTGCTCACTCCTAACTGCCCCGATGATGGCCTGCTCGCCTCCAACTGCCCTCTCCTGCTATCTGATCACCCCTAACCACTTCTGCCTCGGTCCCACCACCATGGCTATGTCCAGAAGGTCTCCCAGTCTAATTAGCATATTACCCTTTTATTAGTATAGATGTTTGATAAGTAGTTGGTAGTATGACATGCTTGATTAGAAAAATTGAAAAATAAATTTATAAGAACTCTTTTTTCTTCTAGTTCTCCCTTTTTATCCCTTCTTTCCAGCAATAAATATCAGACTACTCTTGTAATCAATTGATGTATCAGCTATTTCTCTTCCAGTTTGAAAAGGAAATGTAGCAGAGGTGTTGATAGTATAAAATTTTGCACATTTAAAAAAATAACAACTTATCAAGTCCTTTTCAAAAATTGGAAGTTCTTGTTAGTCATTTGGAAATGTATTATTTTTAGTTATCTTTGTACTTTTTATGATTGATTATTTTTTTAAGATCTCCAAGAGGCTTGTCTCATTCTCCTTGGGCTGTGAAAAAGATTAATTCTAAATGTAATGGTGATTATCAAAGTATGTATCAAAAGAGATTAACTGATGAAGCTAAGATTTTGAAAAGCCTTAATCATCCAAATATTATAGGTAAGTTTAAATTTTATTTGGTAGCGGGAACTTATATATTATTCTGTTTATCAGAAACAGTTTATATAATTTCTTTTTTCTTTTTCTTTTTTTTAATATATTTTATTGATTTTGAGAGGAAGGGAGAGAGAGAGAGAGTTAGAAACATTGATGAGAGAGAGTCATCAGCTGCCTCTTGCACACCCCCTACTGGGGGTATGCCCGCACCCAAGATACATGCCCTTGACCGGAATCAAACCCGGGACCCTTTAGTCCCCAAGCCAATGCTCTATCCATTGAGCCAAACCGGTCTTGGCTTATATAATTTCTTAACCATTTTCAGTAATAAAAATGAAGAGGATGGTGGTAGAGTTTGGTAAGAATCAAAGTAATGTAAACATTCTGAAATAAGTTAGTATACATTTTTAGATGTTTAAGTATGTATTTAAAACATCATGGGATCACTTATATGTGGAATCTAATGAACAAAATAAGCTATGAACAAAAAAGATCCAGAAGCATTAAAGTATGCAACAGACTGACTTGTTTCAGAGGGAAGGTGGGAGGTGGGGGGGAAGAGATTAATCGATCTTACCTAATAATAGATAAACATGTAAATTAACCATACCTCCACTATGCCACCAGCTAATCAGGAATGATATGCAAATTAACCCAACAAAGATGGCGATTAATTTGTATGCACATGCACCAAATGCCAGCCATGGCAATGATGCAAGCATTCTGCCCTAACCCTGGTCTCAGGGCCTCTGGGCAGCATGGGAAGGCGAGGCTGGAGCGGAAAGAGGCGGCTCTGGGGCCTGAGCAGAAAGGGACTGGGCCAGAGTGGAAAGGCAGTGTTGGCAGCCAGGGAAAGGAAAGCCCATCCTAACACGAATATTTGTGCATCGGGCTTCTAGTAAACTTATAAGCATATATGCGTTGCCCATGAACAGACAATAGTGTGGGGAAGGCATGGGCGGGGGGGAGGAGGCAGAATCAGGGTGGAGAGAGTCAGTGGGGGGGAAGGGGGAAATCTAATAATTTCAACAGTAAACATAAATTCAAAAAAATAATAATTTAAAAAATCATGGGAGTAGTCATGCCCTAGCTGGCTTGGCTCAGTGGATAGAGCATCAGCCTGCAAACTAAAGTGTCCTGGGTTCATTTCCTGTCAGGGACACATGCCTGGATTGCAGACTCGATCCCCACTGCCCATTGATGATTCTCTCATTGATATTTCTATCTCTCCCTCTCTGAAATCAATAAAAATAAGAATATTAAAAATACATAATTAAATACTCATGATGCTAATACTATGAGGAATTCAGGAATATAGAGTGATCTTCATTTAGATAATTTCCTTTTCATTTTTAATATAAGTAGGGCTCAAACCATTATATTTAGGAATTCATAAAATATTTTAAAATTTTAATTTGTGATACTATTTGTAAATACTGAAGGCATTTTAAAATAGATGATTGAATTAGTTTTATTATATAAATATCTAGGTTCCCTTGACTTGGCCTGTGTCCTCTTGCAATCTGGGACCCCTCCGGAGATATTGGAGAGCCAGTTTCTGCCTGATCCCAACAGGCCGGGCCGAGGGACCCCACCAGTGCATGAATCTATGCACCGAGCCTCTAGTATGTGTATAAGATCTTGGGTTATTCTCTTCCTGCCCTCCCCCCTTCTCTCTGAGATTAATCAGTCTGTCCCATGTTTCCCATGCCTATGGTTTCCGCTCCTGTGTTAAGTGTCTGTCACTAGTGGTCATTGTGCATCATAGCTACCAGCCATTCACTTAGGCTTTTATATATATAGATAGCTGTTTCATTATATATTTGTCAGTGGTAATCCAGGTCCATTTTCAGTCACAGTACTATAAAAAACTTAAGTACTGCTGTTCTTTCCTATTCTAGTAGAAAATGTTATCTTTCTTTAAGGTTATCGTGCTTTCACTGAAGCCAATGATGGGAGTCTGTGTCTTGCTATGGAATATGGGGGTGAAAAGTCTCTAAATGACTTAATTGAAGAACGAAATAAAGACAGCCACAGTCCTTTTCCAGCAGCCACAATTTTACAAGTTGCTTTGAACATGGCAAGAGGGTTAAAGGTAACTGTACCATTATATTTTTTTGTGGAACATTAAAAAGCTAAGTACAATCTAGCTGGTGTGCTTCAGTGATTGAGCGTTGACCTATGCACCAAGAGATTTCTGATCAGGGCATGTGCCCAGGATCTGGGCTTGATTCCCAGTGAGGGCCATATAGGAGGCAGCCAATCAATGTTCTCTCTCATCGGTGCTTCTATCTTCCTTTTCCTTTCTCTAAGAAATAAAAACATATTAAAAACAACCTAATTACATGGTAGGATTTCCCCACTCCCCACAAAAGAAGGGTTTGCCTTATGGCAGTGGTCGCCAACCTTTCGGACCTCACAGACCACCAGGTGGTGACCCACGGCCTTAGGGAATATTTTATGTTGCAGAGTGTACTATTTCTTATTTTGAAAGACCTTCACATAGTCTGAAATAACCCAAGTTAGGCAGTTTTGCTTACTGAGACCACATGTTAGATTTAGTTAGAAAAGGATTAAATTTAACAGAAATGTACTAATTATTACTGGGAGTGTAGCCCAACCCCCTGTTGATGTAAACAAGCTTCTTAAAGATTGCTTTGTGGCCCTAGCTGTTTTTGGCTCAGTGGAAAGAGTATCAGCCTGCAGACTTGAAGGGTCTCGGGTTCGATTCTGATCAAGGGCACATGCCTGGGTTGTGGGCTCTGTCTTCAGTGGAAGACATGCAGGAGGCAGCCGATCCGTGGTTCTCTCATCATTGATGTCTCAGTCTCTTTCTTCCTTTCCTTTTCTCTCTAAAATCAATAAAAATATATTTTTAAAAAAAGATTTGGGATAAGTTTTGGCATCATGAATAGTCATCTATAGCAGCAGTCGCCAACCTTTCGGACCTCACGGACGATTGGTTGGCGACCGCTGATCTACAGGTCAAATAAAAAAAGCTCTCAATTTTATGCAAACAGATTATTGTGCTTTTGTATGGACACAGTGTTAGAAATAAAAATAATTCCATATCCTAAATAACTTAAACAGAAGTAGTGATGGTGCCACAAAACTGTTGAACAACCCAAATGCAGATAATGTAATGATACTGATGTCAAAATTGTATGTTAGAGTTTAAATAAAATTGATCTATGAAGCATGAAATTGGAAAAAGGCAATATTTCTAAAGACACATATTTTTATTTTTGAAATATATTTTTATTGATTTCAGAGAGGGAGAGAGAATCATTGATTGGCTGTTTCCTGCATGCGCCCCATTGGGATCAAGCCCCCAACCTGGACATGTGCCCCAACCAGGAATCAAACCATGACCTTCTGTTTCACAGGTCTACACTCAGCTACTGAGCCCTGCTGGCCAGGCTCAGTATATATTGTTAATATGTGTATAGAAAAAAAAACAGTTTTAAGTGGATAAGATAAACTAAATCAACAATTTGATTATTTAATAAAATGACTTTAAATATATATAATGGAATTAATTATGTATTTGAGCATATGGTCTTTATGATGGGCAACATTTAAATCAAGCACAGTGAGTATTTCAAATTATATTACAAGAATTATCTCTGCATCATTTTTAAACCCAGTTATAGAGTAGATACTCAAATGCTGATAAATAAAAAAATAACAGGTTTATAAGATACTTTATTATGGATGAATGTTGTTGTCAATACTAAGAAAGGCTTAGTGTATAAAGCAAAAGACAAGTCTTAGATTATATTTCTGCTTCATCTTCTTGTAGTAGCCCTCTGCAGCACTGAGTTATGTATTGTTTTACATCATTCTCAATATAAAAAAAAGTTTCTTTTTTAAGATTTCAAAATTATTCCTAAAATTTTCTAGCTCCAAATAAAGTTGTGGTGTATTTTGATATCTCCATAGCGTGTGTGTGTGTGTGTGTGTGTGTGTGTGTATTTTTTTTTTAATCTTCACCCAAGGATGTGTTTTACCTATTTTTATTTTTTAAATATGTTCTCATTGATTTTAGAGGGAAGATGGAGAGGAAAAGGGAGGAAAGGGAGCAAGAGTCAGGGAGGGGAGCGGGAGCAAGAGAGTAAAAGAGAGAGGGTGGGGGGGGCGAGAGTGACAGAGAGAGAGAGAGACAGAGAGACAGAGAGAGAGAGAGAGAGAGAGAGAGAGAGACATTAATGAGAGAATCATCAATTGACTGCTTCCGGCACAATCAGACCGGGAATCGAACCTCTTGATGCATGGGAAGGTACTCAACCAACTGTGCCACACTGGCGGGGCTTACTTATTTTTAAAGAGAGAGGAAAAGGAGAGGCAGAGAGAAAAACATCCATCAGTTGCCTCCTACACACACACTGACTGGGGATTAAACACAAAACCTAGGTATGTGCCTCAATAGGAATCACACCCACAACTTTTTCATGTACGGGACAATGCTCCAACTAACTTAGTCACCTGGCTGGGGCTTTTGCTGTAGCATTTTTTAATGTAAAAATATGTAAGATGGGTTTGTAAATAAAAAATTTATAAGATTTCCAACAAACTTTTTAGATTTCTGATGTGTAAGGCAGACCAAGATAAAATAAGATATTTCCTTCTCTAGCTTCAAATAATTTGAAATGATAGTATAATCCTATATTTTAGGAAGTGAGTTCAGATTTTGTTTGAAGGTTATTTATTAGTATTTAGTTTGTATTTTTATTTACCAGATATGGTAAATTTCTGCTATTTTAGTATCTGCACCAAGATAAGAAGTTGCTTCATGGAGACATAAAGTCTTCAAATGTTGTAATTAAAGGTGATTTTGAAACAATTAAAATCTGTGATGTAGGAGTCTCTCTACCATTGGATGAAAATATGACAGGTGAGTAATATTCTAAATTTTTTAAAAAATTTATATATTAAAATTTCTAATTTTACACATATTTAAATAACTTTACATTCTTCAAAAATAAAAAACTATTAATAAAAAAGTATACAATAAATTATTCCTCCTTTTTACTCAGCCTCCAGCCCTGTCTCTTGCCACATACACAATATAAATTTTCTCATTAATATACTCCAGATTATTATGATCTCTGAACGCATAATAATCTGACCACTCAGTATGGGTGGGATCTGGCCAGCCTGACTAGGGGGAGGGGACATGGGTGGTTGGCCAGCCTGCCTGCTGCTCAAACTCCTGGTCAAGGGGACAATTTGCATATTAGCCTTTTATTATATAGGATTATTATATAAGATATACACCGAATGGCCAGATTATTATGCTTTCAGAGATTATCATAATCTGGCCACTCAGTGTATGTTAACTGAAGATAACTTTAGGAACTATTTCTAACCTAGATTTTTAAGTGGTAGAAGATTTGGGAATAGAAAATAAATTTTTTTAAAAATGTTCTAGTTATTGTTAATCCTCACCTGAGGATAGTCTTCCTATTGATTTTTAGAGAGAGTGGATGGGAAGGAGGAAGGGGGGAAAGAGAGTAAGAAACATTGATGCAAGAGATGCCTCCCACACATGTCCTGAGTGGGGCCCAGGACCGAACCTGCAACCCAGGTATGTGCCCTGGGCCAGGAGTTGAACTTCTGATCTTTTGGTATCTGGGCTGATGCTCTAACCACTGATCCACATCAACCAGAGTGAGAATAAGGTTTTATAAAAGAGTTCATTTAGCATCAGTACAGTGACAAGGTTTGGGAAACTGATAGAAGAAATTGGAGTGGAAGTAGGAAAGAGGTGCTAGTAAAAGCCAGTCTTCTGCTTTTTATCCGGTCCCATCTCACTTTATTGTAAACTAGTATCCTGGTGCACAGACTCATGCACATTGAAAGGAAATTAATTAGAAGAAATATTTTAATATTGTTTTTTGAATCTTGCTAATGGAAAAAAAAAAGAAAATAGGATTCTACTGAGTCTCCTATCTACCTACTCTAGGAATTTTGTGCGGATCAAATGAGATGAGGCATGGGAAGATGCTTCACAAACATTTCGTTAAACTGTAAAATGTTTGCACTTGGCTATAAAGCAAATCAGGTTCCTGGGCTGAAGAAACTCAAAGGATGCTAGTTGCTAAGGAGAGGAAGCTGGGCGTTGCTACGTGATGTCATTACCCAGTACCCACAGCAGCCATTGCTGGGCTGGGCTGGGGGCTGCATTTTGTGCCATAGGGGTCTTGGTGGGCCTCTGTTCCACTTGGTGGAAGCCGAGTGTTGGTTTGTCTGTGCCAGGTCTGTGGTGTCATTTCTGTTTGTGTGTCATGGTAGCTCCTGTGTTGAGTGTCTGTCCCTTGGTGAATGTGCATCATAGCTACTGGTCAGACGGATGGTCACTTAGCATTTTGTATATATAGATACTATTCATTCTCTTGAGAACCTAGAGACAGCCTCAAAGAGAAAGCTTATGCTTTTAACATATTTAATAAATAACATTTAAACTTTTCTCTTATGCTAGTCAGCACACACACACACACACACACACACACACACACACACACATATATATACCTTAATTTCTAGCTAAAGTTAAGGTCTATAAGTTGAATTGAAGGAAAAAGTCAGTGAACCCTCAGGCTGAGTAACTACTACAAATATGAAACTTTAGGAAAGGACAATTTTTTAAAAAAATATAAGATTTTTTAACATAATTTTCTCAATCCTTAATACATGGAGTAGATAAAACTAAGATGTAAAAAAATTTAAAAGGTTGAGTAGATAAGGTAAATCTATGCATTAGAAAATTGATTATATATATTGGTTAGGTTATAAAAGAAAACCTCAAAAAGTAGAAATAGCCTAATGGTTGATGATCATTGTCCTTGGTGATATACATCTAGATATTAGTAACATAGTTGGAAACAAAACCCCAAAGTTTTTAGTAATTACTTATAATTGATTCTAGGCTGAACAAAGAAATTCTAATTGTAAAATATTTAAAAAATGAGAATGTAACAACAAATTAAAAACTATTTGATAGGGTCAAAGCTACCCAAAGGAACACATTTTCATTATGTAACCTTTATGAAGTTGAGTCATTTCCTGAGCAAAAGCCAATATGTGATTCAACTCTTTCCCTTTTCCCTGATTTAGCAATCAGAAGCATAGAAATGGTTTTTCTCTCAGCCTATTAATAGCATAGTTTGAAAAATGAAGTAACAGGCACAGAGTAAATGTTTCAGGTAACAGAGCTCGTAAATGTCTTTGAACCCAGGCAAGACCATCTTGTTCTAGATTCTGAACTAACATCCACAATCTATTTATGTTCTTACCACTTTCTAAAAAGAATTGATTCTTTACAACTTTGTCAACTATCAAACTCTTTAAATATTTACCAATCTGATTAGGAAAAAGTAATTTGTATTAATTATTGAGGTTGAGTGTATTTTTTCATGTTTACTGGCTATTCTTGATAACCTTTAAACCACCTGTCAAATCATTTGCCCAGGTTTTTTTAAGCAGGTGGTTGTGATGGTCTTTGTTTGCTTTTCTTAGGGAGTTCTTGTGCTGGCCCATGTGACAGTTTTACCTGTTTTGCTTGTTTCAGTAACTGACCCTGAGGCCTATTACATTGGCACTGAGCCTTGGAAACCCAAGGAAGCTTTGGAGGAGAATGGTATTATTACGGACAAAGCAGACATATTTGCCTTTGGCCTTACTCTGTGGGAAATGATGACTTTAAGTATTCCGCACATTACTCTTTCAGATGATGAAGACTATGATGAAGGTATAAATACATATTTTTAATGCAAAACCCAATCTCTCTGGTTTGAAAGATTAGTATATAAAGTTACATTTTATTTTTATATTAATTTTAAAAAGAGCAAGGTATTTGATTTAGTTGCATGAGATATAGATTATATTGTTACTGATGGCTGATTTGGTACCATCTCAGTGTAATTTCATACAAATGAGATGTATATTAATTCAGAACAGAGAGGTAAATTGAGAAAATTCAGAAGAGCAAAAGGTTATCTTAAAAAACTGTTTGCCTGAGAAGATTATAAAGGTTGATACCCACAGATTAAATCCATTTAATAAATTCATGACAGTAGCTAATCCACACCATGGCAGGACAGTGGGAGACTGGTATAGTGAAAAGCCTACTGGATGATGAATTGTTTCAGAAGCGTGAGTGAGCAGTCGGTGAGTTTTTCCATGATTGAAAGTGATTTTGTTTCAAACTTTCTCATGAGCAGATAAAACTTTTGATGAAAGTGACTTCGATGATGAAGCATACTATGCAGCTTTGGGAACGAGGCCACCTCTTAACATGGAAGAGCTGGATGAGACATACCAGAAAGTAATCGAGCTCTTCTCTGTGTGCACGAATGAAGATCCTAAAGACCGTCCTTCTGCTGCGCACATTGTTGAGGCTTTGGAAGTATTTGCCCAGTGATCTCATATTCATAACTACCTGAGCTTCAAGTATGGCTCATGCATATAACTGTCCTCTTTACTGTAATACATTTATGTTGTTACTGTAATAATCCATAATTATTAAACTATTTGAATTTTAGAACCATAGCACCTTGTTAACATTTGAAAAACTTTTTCTATTATAAAGATATTTCATGTATACTCACCAGCATTTAACATCGTAGTGGGTTTTCTATAAAACTTAAGAAATATTTAGGCTTAAGGAACAAGTATTGAAATTTCTTCATAGAGATTTAAAACACTAGCAAAATGTCAAACTCTTATGTCTAACATTAATTTGGGTAGGGGGACCAATACTTTTATTACCGTATTTTCCGGCGTATAAGACAACCCCCTAATTTTACAGTTAAAACATAGGTTTAGGCCTATATTCACTGTATAAGACTACCCCCCACTTCCGAGGCAACACCAATTCTTTTTTTAATAGACCGCCTCTCTGACTCTGGCCAATATGAGCAGGCTTTTTACTAGAACACAGTGTAGCTTTGGGTACAGAACATGTATAATTTGCATGCATAAAAAGCCTGCTCGGATTGGCTGAGTTAGGCGGTCTGAGCAGCCTTACAGTGATTGGTGCGGGATCGAGTTGGAAAATTCGTTTAGCGGCATATCCAGACAATTTTCGGGATCGAGTTGGAAAATTCATTTAGCGGCATATCGAGACGTTTTTCAGGATATACTCGGCGTATAAGACAACCCCCGATTTTCGGTTGACTTCTTTTCGTTTCAAAAGTTGACTTATACGCCGGAAAATACGGTAATGATCTTTCTTGCATATTCTCTACTTAAATAGATCTATTTAAATTAGCACTTTGAAGTACAAAAGAAGTGTACATTTGATTATCTTTTAAAACATGAAACTTTGCTGGTCTTTCTTGGCTGTTGTGCTTATTAAAAATGTTCATTGGAAGCTGAAAAAATATGGCTCAGAGTAGCTCCCTGGGTATTTCCAAACTTTCAGTTAAGGCTTGTATTGTCCTCTTGGTTCTCCTCAGATCTTTGGTTTTTGCTTACATTTATTTAATGTATTTCTGTACTGAGATCCCTTTTTATTTTTTAATTACTAATCTAGCTCTTAAGCATTTTACAGTTCTGGTGTAAAAATAATAAAACTAATAGGATGGTCTAGAATAAAGGACACTTTAGTTACCAGAAGGTGTGTTATCTATTTTATACTCCAGTTGATCTAAGTATTGTCATTAAAGTTGCAGAATGAATGTGAGTAGATTTCTTTCTCTCTTGGCTTTGTTAGTCTGTAAAACGAGAGTGACTTTGATCAATAATTTCTATCTGTGTACCATAGCTCTGAAGAGAGCTGAGTCTAGCCCAAGAGAATCAAGATTAGCCCCAACAAGCTAACCCCAGAGAGCTAAGCCTGGCCCGAAGGGCTGAGACTGGCTCTAAGAGCTGATGCTAGTCCCAAAGGGCTGACCCCAGTGCCTGAGCCAAGCCTATCCCAAAGAGCCAAACCTAGTCTCAAAGGTTTTTGCCAATATCCGAAGGATGAGCCCAGCCCCAAACAGCTGAGCCCAGTCTCAAAGAGCCAAGCATAGGCCCCAAAATCGGAACTGATATAATGAGCCCATTATAGCATAACTTACAAAAAAATGCTGGGAGAATTTACTATACCAGATATCAAGAATATAGTATTAGTATAGGACAGCCAATAAAACTAGTGGAAAACAGGCAGAAATAGACTTGCACATATATGGAAACAATTTTTGACAAAGATAGCAAATCAAAACAAAATTAAAACATAAAAGTGTAAGAGGCTTGAATAGTCACAACCTAATATGGTCATCAACAGTGTAATTAGGGTGTATTTTCAGGGTAGAATATTATATAGTAATAAAAGTGAGATTCACTTTAATGCAATAACGAATATTTTGCCATATATATTCAATTTATATGAGTTAGTAATCCAAAGGTAGTTACATGCCCTAACTGGGTGGTTCAGTTGGTTGAAGAATCCCATATACTAAAAGGTTGAAGGTTTGACTCTTGGTCAGGGCACATATGGAGAAAACCAATGTTTCTCTCACATAGTTTTCTCTCTCTCCCCACCTTCTTCTCTCTAAAATCAATAAATTCCCAGACGAGGATTTAAAAAGTAGTTACATTTGAGGAAGATGATATAATTGAAGAGGGCAAGAGGAAGACTTCTGGGAGGTGACTTTTTTTTTTAACCTGGGTAGTAGTTATGAAGGCATTTGTGATAACTATTTGTACATTTTTAAAAAATAAACCTTGAGAAATTTTAGATACTGAAAAGATGCAAAGACAGAATTTCCAAATACCCCACACCTATTCCTCTATTAACATCTTACATTAGTATATTTGTCACAAAGAACCAATACAGATACACTACTATTAACTACAGTCCATAATTTATATCAGTTATTTAGTTTTACCATTACAGTATCCCTTCCAGAATCCCACATTATATTTAGTTGTCATGTCTCTTTGTCTATAATATTTTCTAACTTTCATTGTTGTTTTTTAGACTTTTTTAGAGCAGTTTTAGGTTCACAACAAATTTAAGAGGAAGATATACAGATTCCCATATACCCACTGCCAACACATATATATAGTTTCCCCTATTATCAACATCCCCAACCAGAGTGGTACATTTGTTTTAACTGATGAATCTATAGTGATAAATTAGGGTTCATTCTTGGTATCCATTCTGAGTTAGGGCAAATGTATAAAAGCAATCATTTACCACTATAACAGTATCTACACTAATAAAAAGAGTAAGATGCATATTGACTGTACATTCGTGATGCCTACCAGCCAATCAGGTGATGCAGGCATTCAGCATTATCCCAGCCACTCTGGGTAGCGTGGGAAGATGAAAAGGTGGCTCTGGGCTGGAGCAAAAAGGCGATTCCGGCCAGAGCGAAGGCAGTGCAGCAGCCAGGGGAAGGAAGGCCCATTCTTGCACAAATCTTTGTGCATCAGGCCTCTAGTATTTCAATATTTTCACTGGCCTAAAAATCCTGTGTTCCACCTACTCCCTCCAATCCATGGCAGCCACATATATTTTTTACCGTCTCCAAAGTTTAGCCTGTCCAGAATGCATATAGTTGGAATCAGAATGTAGTCTCAGACTGTCTTCTTTCACTTGGTAATATTCACTATGGTTACTCCATGCCATTTTGTGGTTTCTTTTTAGTGCCCAATAGTAATCCACTGTCTGGATGTAGCTTTTTGTTCATCCATTAAAGAACATCTCGGTTGCTTCCAAGTGTAGACAATTATGAATAAAGCTTGCTATAAATAACCAGTTTTTGTGTAGACGGATATATTTTCAATGATTAGATTTTTTACTTAAACAAGTAAAAGCATACACTTAAAATTGTTTTATTCATTTTAGAGAGGAAGGGATAAAGAAACATCAATTTGTGCCCTGACTAGGGATCAAACTTGCAAACTTGACATATTGAGGCAATGCTCTAACCACCTGAGCTATCAGACTGGGGAAACATGTACTATTTTTACAGCCACAAAAAATAACTTAAAATCAGTACATTCTATTATATTAGAATAGACAAAGAAAATATTGAAAAGAATTTTAATTGATCTATCACAAAAGCATTGAACAAGCAAATAATGTTAATAAAATTTTTAAAAGAAAATATTTAAAAGAAAAACAGTAGTGCAGAAAATAAGATGTTTGCATAATTACACACATTTTTAACACTTCCACATTCTTTTTGGAACTCAAGCCTTTAAATTTTGGAACCATGTTAACTTACAGGCAAATAAAAGAATGTAATGAACATATTCTACATAAAGTTATAACCTGGAAAACTATTTCCCTAGAGTATTATTGCCAGATAGCAATTAAATGTTTTTTAGAATCAACAATCTGAATAATTCTTTGCTTTTCAAAATACCCAAGAATTATACTAGAAAACTGATTTTTAGAGAGATTAAAACATTTAGGTGTATCTATATAATGTCATGTTCTCTGGTCCATCAACCTAGATATATTTATTCACTAACCTTGGTTCTGATACTATACATTTTGTTAGATATACATTTGTTAGAATAAAATGTATTTTAGACATGCAAAAATTTTACAATGTAACAATATGAATCATCCCAGTAGGGCATCCATTTAGTTGATCAATTAGCAGTAGTAAGTACACTAAAGATAAGTAGCATAATTAACATCCATACACCAAAAATTAAATGACAGTAGTGCAATTAAGTTTAACTTTAAATCTGGTGAGAATTTCTTGAGTAAAGATTTCTAAAAAGTGGAAAACAAACTATAGAATTCTGTTCTACATGAAAATCTTATTCTTTACCATGTTTCTTTACTATACATTTAAAGACTTTCTGAATATATTTAAGCTGCTACCTATAAGGTGAAAATTCTGTGTACAGAATTCAGGAATTACTTTAAAAATTGGCAAGGAAATTATTTGCCTTTAAATTTTCTTGTTTGCTTCTGATTAAGCTTGAGATAATCCTGGTTCAAAGTGCTTAATTAAATATAAGGGGTCACATTTCTATAGAAAACATGTCAGTATTCCTATGTAAGTGGCCAGTAATTTTCCAATTATATCTACAAAGTTTCATAATTAAGGATTCAGAGTGTTAGTCAGTATACATCATCCAAAAGGTTTTTCCTTTCTTTGAATCTCCAGATAATTTTCAAGAAATCTATCCCTGACTTTTCAATTTATAGGATTAAAACAGCCAGGGTGTGTGTGTGTGTGTGTGTGTGTGTGTGTGTGTGTGTGTGTGTGTGTGCGCGCGCGCGCGCATGCGCGCGCACATTTCAGTATTTTTATTTGACATTTGCTAAGTAGTTATTATATGATAAGAAGCTGTCTTAATTCATCCATATAATAATTATTCTACAGTTGGAATTGGCTTTAACTATTAAAATTGTATACAAGGAAATTAGGGGTGTTGCAGTACTTGGCTGCAAATAACTTGCCATCTGGTGTTGGGTCAGAAAATGCTATTTCATTAGTGCTGAGAAAACAGCCAAACATGAAGCGATTCCTAAAAAACAAAAACAAAAAATAAAGAGGAAAAGACAACTTAAAATGGAACCAAATTACAATTTTGATTAAACATTAGCACATTTTATTTTAGCAATCCAAATATAAAAATTCAATCTAAATACTCAATTAAAATCCACATTTTAAGTGATAAAATGACTTAATGCTTTAGATTTTAAAGATGGAAGCCTATTTCACAGAGAAAGCTGAGGTCCAGACGAAATTCTGCTGAGGTACAGGGAATCATAACAGCTGACTCCAGATGACGCATAGGAATGAGCAACTAATAAGAGGTAATATTGCTAATTAAAAACCATCAATAGCTCTAGCCAGTTAGGATCAGTGGCTGGTGTTGGCACCCCGGACTAAAGGGGTCGTGGGTTTAATTCCAGTCAAGGGCACATACCTTGGTTGTAAGCTCGATCCCCAGCCCTGGTCAGTTAACATGGGGAAGACAACCAATCAACACACATTGATGTTTCTGTCTTTCCTCTCCCTTCCACTCTAAAATTTAATAGAACCTGGCTCGTGTGGCTCAGTGGTTGGTCGCCAACCTAGAAACCAGGAGGTCATGATTTGATTTCCAGTCAGGGCACATGCCTGGGTTGTGGGCTCGGTATCCGGTGCAGGGCATGCAGGAGGCAACCAATCAATTATTATTCTCATCATTGATGTTTCTATATCTGCCTCTCTCTTCCTCTTTGAAATCAATAAAAAATAAAAATAAATCAATAGAAAAAAAAATATCTTCAGGTGGGGATTAATTTAAAAAACAGATAAATTAAAACCATAGATAATGAAGAAAAAAAAAAAAAACCATCACACCAAAAACCAATATTCTTTTCAACTACACCACACAGAGCTTTAAGAAGCCAAAAACTCTCCCAATGTTTATTTTGGGAGGCAACCAAAATTTTTTTTGGAGGGGAAAAAGAAGGCAAAAAATATTCCCTATTTTGACTTAAACTTGATCCAGAGCTCAATTATGATAAAAAGTAGTAAGATGAAATGGTTGAAAGAATTCAACAAAATTGAGGGATAGTCTATAAAGTAACTGGCCTGTGCTCTTCAAATTCTTCAATGTCATAAAAGCAAAGAAAGCCTAAACTGTTCCAGGTTAAGGAAAATGAGAACTAAAGAGATAAGAGGACTTAAGTGCAATATTGGATCCTGTACAGGGGGAAAATGCTATAAAGGACACTTGAGACAAATGACAAGACTGAAATATGAACTATACATTAGTCAGAAGCATTATATCCATATTAAATATACTGAATTTGATCACTGAACTGTGCTTATGTAAGAGAATATCCTTGTTCTTAAAAGTACAAAGAACGTACAGTAAATGTTAAATCTTGAATCTGGGTAAAAGCACACGGGGGTTCTTTTTAACTATCGCTACTCTTGTAAGTTTAAAATTACTTCAAAATAAAAATTAAAGAATTAGATTCGATTAGAAGTTAAGATATAAGCTTCTGGTATCTTTACTATATAACTGAATACAAAGTTTATTGCTAAATGTCCAAAGCAAAATATTGGTTTGACTAAAAGTTCTTATTGTCTTTATTAGTGATATCAGCTATAGGAAAAATATTACATCTGTAGGTTTGAGTTCTTACTCTGTACTTCTATAGCTCATCAGTAAATTTGACTTTATAATCACATTTGAGCCACAGGTGATTCTTCTGTAAAATAACTAGGAATAATTTTCTATTCTTATGATTATTTAAACACCAGAGGCCCGGTGCACGGATTCATGCACTGGTGGGATCCCTTGGCCTGGCCTGCACCCTCCCACAATCCAGGTCCCCATAGGGGATGTCGGATAGCTGGTTTCAACCTGATCCCTGCAGGCCCCAATCCAGACAGGAGGGAGCCCGATCCTGTGCATTAAGAGTCTGTCCCCTGGTGGTCAGTGTGATCATAGCCACCAGTTGTTTGGCCGGTTAGGCTTTTATACATATAGATATTGCCTATATAGACAAGAGACAATTCAACCTAAGTCTCCTCATATGCAGGAGGAGCTGTCAGTTGTTTCTTGTATCTTCAACTCAGATGTGAGAAAAGACAGACACGTTCTCAAATGAATGTTTACTTCTCCTTTGAAGGCAACTTAATTTTCATTTGTTATTGCTTAGAGGTAACATTTGTTATTGCTTAGAGATGCCTTAGTACTCAAAGTATGATCTACAGACCAGCAACATTCAGCATCACCTGAGGGCTTAGTAGGAATGCAGAATCTCAGGCCCCAATCTGACCTACTGAATCACACCTGCATTTTAATAAGATCCCAGGTGATTCATATGCACTTTCAGGTTTGAGAAACATTAGACTACTGTCTGCTGGGAGTAGCTTAGATACTGCTATTTCTCATATCAAATTTATGTAGCTCTTAATACAAAGTATAGAAAATAGAGGTATTTTATAATTAACTATCCAGTCTCTATAGACCAATGTTTCTCAATGCTCCCCTTTATGGGTGGGAAGGATTATAGCCAAAGATTGGATTCCCACAGTGATCTTTGGTGTTCTTTCTTAAAAAGTGTATGTAATTGAAAGGGCTAGAATAGTGCTACTCAAAATGTGGTTCTTGCTGGGACCGGTTTGGCTCAGTGGTAGAGCGTCGGCCTGCGGACTGAAGGGTTCCGGGTTTGATTCCGGTCAGGGGCATGTACCTTGTTGCGGGCACATCCCCGGTGGGGGTGTGTGCAGGAGGCGGCTGGTTGATGTTTCTCTCTCGTTGACGTTTCTAACTCTCTGTCCCTCTCAATTCCTCTCTGTGTAAAATCAATAAAATATATTTTAAAAAAAAAATGTGGTTCTTGGTTTGGTTAAGGTAGTGGTCAGCAAACTCGGTCAACAGAGCCAAATATCAACAGTACAAAGATTGAAATTTCCTTTGAGAGCCAAATTTTTTAAATTTAAACTTCTTCTAACGCCACTTTTTCAAAATAGACTCGCCATGGCCATGGTATTTTGTTGAAGAGCCACACTCAAGAGGCCAAAGAGCTGCCATGTGGCTTGCGAGCTGCAGTTTGCTAACCAGTGGGTTAAGGTGTAGTCGTTCTCTGGTTTTGTAATCTGTTATTAAGTATAGAAGTCAATAGAAGTGTTGTGAAACTCACTTATCCAACTTAGACTAGGTAAATTAACGTGAGCAAGAAGTAAGCTCCTTTGTCACATTAGAAACTTTAAGTATCAACATGCAGTGTTAACACAGTAGTTTAGAATGAAGAATCACTAATTTAGTTTTGAGCTATAATTCATATACCATAAGATCAATCCTTTAAAGTGTATAATTCAGTTGTTTTTTAGTAATAGTCACAAAACTGTGCAACCATCTAATTCCAAAACACTTTCATTACCCCAAAAAAGAAACCCTGAACCCATTAGCAATCACTCTCCATTTACCCTGGAAACTGACTGACTTATTTCAATTAGCATGTTTTCAAGGTTCACCCATATTGTAGTATGTCTCATACTCCATTCCTTTTTGTGGCTAAATAATATCCTATATAATAAAGAGTTAATATACTAATTAGACCAAACAGTAAAGATAACCGTCCAGACAACCTTCCAGACAAAGCCGAGCTGCAAGGGCTGAGCCCCTTGCATGAATTTTAGGTACCAGGCCTCTAGTTTTACTATATTACTGTATCAATATACCAAATTATATTTATCCATTAATCATAAGCTTGGCTGTTTGCTTTTTGGCTACTATGAATAATGCTGTTATGAACTCTCATACCAGTTTTTGTGTGGACTTATCCTTTCTTTGGCATATATAGCTATTTGTCCACTTGCTGGGTCATATGGTAACAGTTTTTTTCTGAGAAATTGCTAGACTGCATTCCTCAGCTGCTGCACCATTTTACATTACTATAGCAAAGTACTAAGATTCCAATTTCCCCCCACATCCTCACCAATACTTATTTTCCCTTTATGATTTGTCATATAGTGGATATTAACTGTGGAATCTTATAGTTTTTTTGTGATTTGTTTTGGATAGCTAATTATGTTGAGCATGTTTTCATGTGTTTGTATTTCTTTGAAGAAATGTCTATTGAAATTCTGCCCATTTTTAATTTAGGTTATGTCTTTTTATTATTGTATTAAATGAATTCTTTTATTCTGGATGTAATAGACTATTAGGTAAATTATTTACAAATATTTTCTACCATTCTGTGGGTTGTCTTACTAATTTGCTTTTATATTTAGTTATGAGTTATAGTAAGAATTAATTACACACTATCAATGGACATATACAACGTGGAGAGCGGTGACAGCATTTATACTGGTTCAAGACTCGGAATAACTTGTGGCAAAGCCACATGCAAGTCCTAGCTTGGAGGGCAAAGCCCTCCCAGCACAATTATAGCCTAAAGGCTATGGTTGTAAGCTTGACCTTATAATCCACCCTGAAGTCCTAGGTAGTTGAGCAATGTAGGCTGTGTGTGTGTGTGTGTGTGTGTGTGTGTGTGTCTATGTGTGTGTGTATGCGCACACACAGCAAGTGCTGCCAAAACAAGGCTTGATAGAGTTCAGAGAATGGCAACAAAAGGAAAGAAGCAGATCTGAAATTCGCAAGAACACTGTAAACATCTTGCCCTTGTTTTGCTTGTGTGATCTGATATAAAATAAAGTTTCGACTTACAGGCTGTGTCACTGTTTCCTCATCCAGGCAAAGTGATCCTACATAGCCCCAACTATAGTGAGTGGCCAGATTATGAATAATAATCTAGTCACTCAGTGTATATCCTATCCTATATAATAAAAGGCCAATATGCAAATTGTCCCCTTGACCAGGAGTTCGACCAGCAGGCAGATTGGCCAACAGCCCATGTCCCCTCCCGATGGCTAGGCTGGCCAGACCCCACCCATGCACGAATTCATAAACACACACACACACACACACACACACACACACACACACACACACACACACTGGCTAGATTATTATGTGTTCAGAGATCATAATAATCTGGCCACTCTGTGTGTATTCTCTTGTCTGTTTTCTTTAATCCTTCACCACCCTCCTCAGGTTCACTCTTGGCCATGATGGATGCCATTCAGTACAATTTCTGTAATTCTTTTTTTTAAACCTCTATTTTCTTAGTTTTATTTTTTTCTTTTAAAATTTTTATTCGTTTTATATTGAACTATGTTTATATTTAACTATGTTAAATATATTTATTGAAATATTAATTTTACATTTGTTGAATCAAATAAAATTAGGGCATTTTCCTTTATTTTTGGTTTTTCTTTTTAATTTTCTAGGAATTCATCTTTATTTTCTTTTTTTAAAGTGTTGGTCTGTAACAAACTTCACTGCAGGTAGTGTGAAAGCACTGGGTTAAAATGTTTCAGATCTGGAATATGCCCAAAACTGAGGGGTTTTTTTCCTTTGCCAGTACTTACTTTACTTAGCCTGACTTCGATATAATTTATATAGCAGTGTCTTATCAACATCCCTTTGGGTCATGAGCCAGAAAAGATTCTGGGAAAGCTAATCTGGGTCTAAATCCATTTTATTTTACTTCTTACCTGAGCGTATCTACCAGTCGCCTTGCAATGCGCTTTCTTCTCTTAAATCTGAAGACCCAGATCCTACTTATCCCACAGACTGCAGGTACGGGCTCATTGGAACATCGCCAAGCCCTGTGACATTCTCTGGAGCCTGGGGATTCTGGGCTGGTTGGTTCAGACAGGACACGGAAGGCCTGGAATGGTATATCGAAGCATCTAGAGTTAATACAAATAAGTTCACAATTCTTTTTTAAAGCCATTCCTTGAACAAAACTTAAGAATTTAGAATTATTCTTATTATACCTTCACCAAAAATGTTAAAGTTCATTCATATTTATGCAGTACTTGTTTTTTTTAGCCACACAATGCTTGAAAAAAGTACTAGTGGTACTGAGCTATTCCCAACATGCCAGTGTATTACACACCATTATGAAACTTCTCTCTTTTATTTATTTATTTTGTTAAAAATCAGACTGTTGACTTTTAGTACATAAAATATATATACTTCTCTCATTCTCTCAGCCTAATATGTGTGTGTATGTGTATATATACATACACACACACACACACACACACACATATATATATAATATATATATATTTATATATTTATAAATATATATATTTATATATTTATATATATATATTTATATATTTAAAAACTGATAACACAAAGGAGATTTTTACATCTTTTTAAAAATATATATTTTATTGATTTTTTTACAGAGAGGATAGGAGAAATAAAGAGTTAGAAACATCGATGAGAGAGAAACATTGACCAGCTGCACACCCCTTACTGGGGATGTTCCCGCAACCAAGGTACATGATCTTGACCGGAGTCGAACCTGGGACCCCTCAGTCCATAGGCTGATGCTCTATTCACTGAGCAAACTGGTTTCAGTAGACTTTTACATCTTAACTATGAAATTTGGTTGGCAGCTAAGGCTTATTTTTTTTTTTAATATTTTTATTGATTTCAGAAAGGAGAGGAGAGGGAGATAGAAACATTGATAAGCTGCCTCCTGCATGCCCCTACTGGGGATGGAGTCCACAACCAGGGCGTGTGCCCTGACCAGGAATTGAACTGTGACCTGGTTCACAGGTCAATGCTCAACACTAAACCACACCAGCTGGGCAGCATGTAAGGTTTTTAAAGAAAACTTTGTACTTTAATATAATTATAGATTCACAGGAAGTTAAAAACTAGAACAGTTTCCCCCAAGGGTTATACCTTCCATAACTATGATACAATACCAAAAGCAAGAAAGTATGGATATAGTGTAGGTGTATACTTTCATGACAACTCATTACTTTCTATCATTATTCATTTAACCACCACCACACTCAAAATACAGAGGTATTGAATCATCACAAAATTCTCCCTCTTACTACATCTTTATAACTATACCCACCTTTTCCCTCCACCAGAAAGTATAAGATAAATTTATGCTAGTTTCATTTCCAGATGTATTGCAATAAGTATTTTTAAAAGGAAGGAGACATGAGTATCTAATATGATACAATCAGGTAAGAACACATTTCATCTATACACTGAATGCCAGATTATTATGATCTCTGAACACATAATAATCCTGCCACTCAGTGTATACCCTATATAATAAAGGGCTAATATGCAAATTGTCCCCTCGACCAGGAATTCGACCAGAAGGCAGGCTGGCCAACCACCCATGACCTCTCCTTCTGGCCAGGCTGGCCGGACCCCATCCATGCATGAATTCATGCAACAGGCCTCTAATATATATATATTTACACACACACACACACACACACACACACAGAGTGGCCAGGTTATTATGTGTTCAGAGATCATAATAATCTGGCCACTCAGTGTAAATCTCTAGCTAAAGATTACCCTGTATGCTCCTTGAAGGCAAAAACTACAATCTCTATCCTATATAATAAAAGGGTAACATGCAAATTGACTGAACAGTGGAATGACTGGTCGCTATGATGCACACTGACCACCAGGGGGCAGACACTAATGCCCGAGCTGCCCCCAGCCCACAGTCCCCATCCCCCAATGGGGGCCTACCAGCCAACCTCTTGGTTCCTTCCCCAGTTGACAGGCTCCAATCACCCGATAGTGAACAGGGAACTGGGGGTGGGTGGCAGCTGGGGAAGATGGCCCTGATCGCAGGCCAGGTCTAGGGACCATACCTGTGCACAAATTTTGTGCACTAAGCCTCTAGTTCTAGAATAATCCTGTGGGGGGCCAAATTATATTTTAGGCTCTTTGCACCCATTCTACCCTGCCATTATAGCACAAAAGCAACTACAGATAATACAGAAATGAATGAGCATGGTTATGTTCTAATAAAACTGTTTATAAAAATAGATGGCAGCCATATTTTGCCTACAGGCAAATTTACCAATGCCTTTTCTAGAACAATGCTACTTAGTACCTAAAATAGATTCTAATTAAGGGACAAATAATGACTTTTGCACTAAGCCAATATTCAATAACTGGGCTCTAAATTACCATAGTTTATAGGCCTGGTATAGAAATGACTATATGTACAAAAGATCGACTTACCCTGCTTATATCAAATATTAACAGATTATTCCTACAGTTAAAAATGTTTTAGTAGGAAAAAATGTTATTTATGGCAGTAATCTTAAATGCTTAAGATTTATTGAGACTTTTCCTAACTATGGCTGACAAATTATGCCAATAATTTAAAAGACTTATAACATACCTGTTGGATGGGCTCTGCAATTAAACACCCAACTACTTTCTTTTCATCAGATATAAAGAGAAATGTTTTGGTTTTGTTTGGACATCTGGGAACAACTTGCTGAAAGCCCAATTCATTATCGACAAGTTCTTGCACTTCTTCTACCTAATGACATTAAAAAAATCAAAAGAGGTGACTATGTTTTAAAAATTATAATTGAAACAACATATAATTATATATACAAAATTTATGATTACTGTCATTTTAGCCTATTTTATCTTTATTTCCTAAATTTACAAACCCGCTCCTCCCAATCACTTCATTATTGATGCATGTATCTGACTCTGGAAACAACAGGTTTCTAAGAACCTATTTTAAAGATCACTTTCAGGAGAAAGAAATTCAGACTCCTGGAAGGGAGAAAAAGTAGGAAGTGCCAAAACAGATTTTGTTTCAGTTTTATTCATTGTTCACTGGGGCTAAACATCTAACCCAAGAAACACAGGCAACACTAATGTAAGAAACAGATTCTGGGGCCATTCATCTCTCAATAAGTTTATGTTTTTCACAAGTGAAAGATAAAGGTAAAGTTGTCTTTTGTTGTTGTTGTTAATCCTCATCTGAGGATATTTTTCCATTGATTTTTAGAGAGTTGAAGAGAGAGAGAGAAAGAGAGAGAGAGAGAGAGAGAGAGAGAGAGAGAGAGAGAGAGAGAGAGAGAGAGAGAGAGAGAGAGAGAGACATCGATTGGTTGCCTCAACACCCCGACCAGGGCCAGGAATGAGCCTGCAACCAAGTTATGTGCCCTTGAAAGGAATCAAACCTGGGACACTTCAATCTGCGGTCTGATGTAATATCTACTGAGTCAAACTGGTTAGGGCTAACACTATTGTCTTTAATCTCCCAACTGCCATTCCTTATATTGTAATTCTGAGGCTAGTGCTGTTATGAACTGGTATGTGTACCAAAGTGTATTATCAATCCTTACATGTGTACCAAAGTAGGTTATCAATCAACAAAAGTAGTTTGCACTTCAACATATGTGATTTCTTGGTGGGGAGATGGAGAGAATAGGAGAATAATTAAAAGGCTAATGTTCCATACCTTTTTGATAGCATAACTTGGATCATGTGGCAGGACCAACACAATTTTCCCATCCCAAAACTCTGCTACTACACGTTCTCTTTTCCACCCCTGGAGTAGACAAAAAGAAGAGTAAATGATATTTTAAAAGATACAACAAAATCTAACTTTAAAAAAATGGGGGAAGGGAAATAAAAGATGCCCCAAATAAAGTGCTTGTCCTCAAGGGGCTGACATTCTACTGGGATATATGTATACTAGAAGCCCAGCGTGCACAAATCCGGAGCTCATAGTTCACTTCCCCTTGCCTCAGATGGCCACCCAGCCCATTGCTGCTAGTAGCTCGCTGCCCTGCCCTCTGCTGCTCATAGCTCTCGGCCACTAGTAGCTTGCTGACTCGCCCTCCTCCGCTCTGCTCTCCACTGCTAGTAGCTCACGCCCTGCCCCACCCGCCATGAGAGCCAGCTGCTCCTTTGGTCATGAAGGCGTTATGGCGATGAGCCTTTTATATAAGAGGCGAGCAATCTATTATAAAATAAGGTGAAGTCAAATAAGTGCTCTTCATAGGAATGTGTAGGATCCATTATACCTACTAACTTTGAAAGGAAGGAATAAATTATTAGGAGTGGGAAAGTAGGGGAGGGGGAAGATAATAAACTACCCTGTTTCCCCGAAAATAAGACAGTGTCTTATATTAATTTTTTCTCCCAAAGTTGCACTAGGTCTTATTTTCAGGGGATGTCTTATGTTTCCATGCGCTAGATCTTATTTTGGGGGAAACACGATAAGCTAAAAATATTATGAAGGTATGAACTGTAACAAAAAACGGGAGTGGGGTGGGGGTGCGGTGGAGAGAAGGATGATTTGAGTAGCAGGATCGGTCATAAAGATAAGTCCCACAATAGGATGTATTTGGACTAGATAGTTGCTTGATTGCCTGATAAAGAAACTTCTCCTTTTAGGAAAGAAAAATCTTGGATAAGTCATAAAAAAGCTGTTTCTAAAGTTATCTATAAAGAAGAAATTAAAATGGTGGTGGTGGTGTTGGTGGGGAGAGGGACAACAATCCCCAAGTCTTTTGAATTTTGTTGACTGTTAAACTCTGTTCAGAAAGCTAGAGGGAAGAATACAGGGTATTCACTTAACCTAGAACAATACTTCTCTTATAGTAGGATAGTTTAAAATGGCACTTTAAAAAAAAATTAACTTTTTAATACTGTCAGCCTCAAATATTAAGAACAACAAAACTGTAGTTGATGATGAAATATGGGTATACAGATCTCTCAATATTTAAGCAAAAAAAAAAAAAAAAAAAAAAAAAAAAAATATATATATATATATATATATATATATATATCTTTTAAAGCACTTTTATTTTTAAAACAAACTGAAAGACTCTTTGACTTACTGTGTATTTGATTCCCTCCAGAAATCTGTGGTGATGCTGAGCATGCTGCAGCTCATCTTCAGGGTTGGAAGCAGTATAGATCATGCCACAAGACTTACACATGGTGGCTCCAAAATTTTTCTGACCTGCGTCCTGTTAATGAAGGGGGAGGCCACATCTAAACATATCACAAATAGATCTACATTTAATACATGTAACCATTCATTCAAATTTTTCCTTATTTTTCTTTTATGCTAGCACAAGTGAAATACTAAGTGAAGTTTGGTTATAATATCCTCCTCCCCAAAAAAAACAAAATGAAAAAGACCTAAAAATACAATCTATATATTTAAAACCCTAATATGCAAATAGACCGAACAGCAGAACTGAAAAATCAGTCGCTTTGATGTGAGCTGACCACCAGGGGGTGCACGCGGAATATGGCAGGCATTGACAGCAGGTGGCAGAGCTTGGAACATGGTGGGCATTGGCCATGGCAGGATGGTGGATCAAGTAAATGGGGGCACCAGACCAAGGCAAGGCACTTGCCACTATCATTAGGGAAAGCCTCTGGTCTTTACTGAAAACTCTGCTTCCGCAGCCAGCGCCAGCCCCACTTGCTCCTGCTGCCAGTGCCTGGCACCATCAGCAGGTGCAAGCAATGACTGTTGGCCCCAATCGCCCCTTAGGGCTTCTCCACCACCTCCTACTCTTGAGGGGCATTTGGGGCCAGCAGCTGCCACTCACACCTGCTGATGGCACTGGCCCCACTTGATCCCATTGCTGTCACCGGCCCTAATCACACTCTGTGCCGTCAGAGGGTGCAAGTGGGGCCGATGCCATCAGCACATGGGAGCTGCTGGCAGACAGGGGACCAAGAGGGCAGACGAGGGGGTTTGTGGTGGGAGGAGCCAGGTAAAGGTATGGAGGATGGGCCAAGACCTGCCTCTGTGCCCACAGCAGCCTTACTGCCCACAGTTCCTTTCAAGGTGCAGAAATTCATGCACTGGACTCCTGGTAAATTAATAAAATAAATGGGATTATCTCGAATTATCTCTTGGAATGAACAGTGTAAAAAAATAAATAAATAAATAAAAAATCTCCCACTGTTGTGGCTCAGTGGTTGAGCATCAACCTATGAACCAGGAGATCACAGTTCGATTCCTGGTCAGGGCACATGCCTGGAATGCAGGCTCGAACAACAGTGCGGGGTTTGCAGGAGGCAGACGATCAATGATTCTCTCTCATCGTTGATGTTTCTCTCTTTCTCCCACTTGGTTCCTCTCTGAAATACACACACACACACACACACACACACACACACACACACACATATATATATACACATACATATATATACATATGTATATATATATTTTTTAAATCAAGATTCAAACGAAAGAAAAAAATTAAAAACACTCAAGATTCTTTGGCTAGATAGATCCATAGTTCTAAGAAGTAAAAGATTAAATCATAAAACTTATAGCTAAGATGAATAATAGAAACTTCTTTATTAAGCTCTTAAATAGAGACCTAAAAGCCTTATTTCAAAGAGGAAGGGCAAAAATTTTAGAACTTCTATATTCATTATGTATTTTTTTTCCTTAAGTGTTTAGGAATATAAAAATTCTTTGCCCTAAGGGTTGATAAAAATAAATATAATACATAATAATTAAGGAAAGCACAGTTAAATTAATGAATATAGGGAAGTCAGAAATATTCAATGTCATGGCTCATTAATAAATCCACACTCTATATAATAAGGCCTTGCTTAATACTACTAAAAATACTAGGTTCTGAAGAGTCTGATACAGGAGCTGGCAAACTTTTTTGCAAAGAGCTAGATAGTAAAAACCATTTTAAGCTCAAAGGCTATGGTCCAGATTTGGCCCATGGTCATAATTTGCACAACCCAGACCTAAAACAATGTAGCTATTTTCATTAAATCTTTTGCTAATCAATAATCTTCCTTATCTGAAGACAACTCACTTATCAGCACTCTGCTAAATTACTAGCTTTGCCCAACGCTATCAATTTGAAAATATACTTGACAGAATAGCTTTAAACACTGCCACTCCAACAAAGCTGGCATTTATAAACACAGAATATCTATATTCCATATTACCTATGGTAAGACAACAAGTTCTATATGTGAGAGCCACATATAGGAGGAGCTTTGTTTTAAATCTACTCACAATGACGAACTGGTTTTTTGTTCCTTTGTTTGCATCTCTGGCATTAATACTTTTCTGTGTATTGGTCTGTTTCAAAAAGTTAGTAGGTGTGATGGATGCCGCAGAAGACTGTTCTCCAACTAGAGATCTTAAAATAGAAAGTTGATAAACATTATTTAATCTGCAGAGCACCTGACAATTTTTAGTGCTTTTTATAGACAATAACTTGATAAAGTAATTATCAAGGAACAATTACCAGGAACAATGAGAAATCTCATTCCCACTCAGAGAGGATCGGTAATCTACTCAGGGTTAAGTAACTAGAAAGAATGGTGGTAACTCAAATCCTCATCTTAAAACTACAAACACAAGGGACTTTCATCTATGGTATCAGATGTACATATGCAGGATCGCTTAGTAACTTGATTTCACTTGTAAAAAATAATTTTTTGTTTGCTTTATCAAACCTTAGGATATTTAGCCATTTAGGTCTACAGAAATTCCTGGAATACCACACAAATAAGTAGACTCTAATATTAAAGCTTACAGGTAGGTCCACAGGAAGTTAGCCATCAGCATATAAATGTCTTTTTACTTGGGCAGTGGTTGAGGCTAATACATGCACTTGTTCTCAAATTCCTAGGGAAAAAAATCTTTTGGCTGGATAGATGTTGAGGAAACTTTTCCCCACTCAAAAACAATGTTAGAGGTTGCAGATTGAAGCTCCCCCTCCCCCACACCCCTAAGCTAAAGTCAACTAACAGATATGTTTTGGATTAGCTACTAATATTTTAAAAATCTAGAGATTTCTCTTGAAAAAAAAAAATATATATATACATATACATATATACATACATATATATATATATATATGTGTGTGTGTGTGTGTGTGTGTGTGTGTGTGTGTGGGAGTGTGTAATAGTTAATGCTAATGAGCATTTACAACCTTATGATGTAGGTACAATTAAGGTTGTAAATGCTCCGTACCTTTGCCTGGCTCATTAATCAGACTATGATTAATGAAATATATATATTTCCAACACTGTAAGAGACACTATAAGATCTCTAGATCTCTATTTCTTCTAAGAACCTACTAGATCAATCTAAACAGCACCTGCTCTTTTAGATCGGGTATGCACTCTCCATTTGGCTCCAGTCTCCACCCAGCCTGGCTGGCTCTGTAGGCATTTGAGTTTGTAATCCTTGCCTTAGAGTAGAGGTAAGAGAAAATAGCCAAGGAAACAAACCAAGTGCCTAAAGCAAGAGATTCAAACAGGAAAAAAAAATCTGATAAGGAAACACTGGGGAGCCCTAACTGGTTTGTCTCAGTGGCTAGAGCATCGACCTGTAGACCCAAGGGTCCAAGGTTCGATTCCGGTCAGGGGCATGTATCTTGGTTGCAGGCACATAATCAGTAGGAAGTGTGCAGAAAGCAGCTGATTGATACTTCTCTCTCATCGATGTTTCTAGCTCTCTATTCCTCTCCCTTCCTCTCTGTAAAAATAAATCAAATGTATTCTTTTAAAAAGAAAACTCTGGGGAAAAAAACTGTCTAATGCTTTAAGCTAAGCCAAACTGTTTTGTGATCATTTAATTAAAATGGCTTTCAAAGTGACTTCGCAAACGTATGGTAAGAATTATATTTTACATCATGACCAATAGAGACGCACACACAACTAAAAAAATGTTTCACACACAAAAATAAATAAATAAATAAAATAAAATAAATAAAATAAATAAATAAATGTTTCACTAAGAGAGATGTATTATTCCATTTAAATGCTGCTAAATTACTAGCTTTGCCCAACGCTATCAATTTGAAAATATACTTGACAGAATAGTTTAAACTGATTTGACAAGCTTTTAATGGTTAAATACCTGGAATATAGAAAACACTCGGCTAGGTTGTTGACACCCTCTTCTTTATGCAACCTTTGCTAAGGTGACTCAGTTTTTCCCATCCCAGCATGCATGACCACAATCACTTTACTTCTGTCATAGCAATTTTAACACTTTATTATAATATATGTGCTCACTTAAATGCCTATCCTCCTCTAATCGTAGCAAGACCATGTACTATTCATCTTCACAGCTCTAAAAACTCAGGATAGTTCAATACCACATAGTACTCAATACCATAGGTGTTCACCAAATATAAGAATAAACAAACTAAAAATGAATGTGAAACTGTGAACCAGAGAATCTGTAGTCTACCTAAAGTAATAGGTAGTAAGTAAATGCCTCACACACCCCACTCTTAGCTCTGACCAGGACAGGGGTAGCTTCAGCTGGAATTTATCAAACTGCTGCAAATTACTCCTCTTACCTGAGTTTCTCATCTATAATATGGGGATAATAATGGTACCTACATTATAAGGTTGTAAATGCTCATTAAACATTAACTATTACTAATATCACCCAGGGAAGGCAATATAGCCCAATGGGCTTTGATTCAGATGTGGATTCTAGTCCTGGCTCTGCCACCTAATAGCTGTGTAGCTGTGGCTGAATTACTAAGTTTCTTCAGCTAAAAATGGAATTGATAATGCCATCTTCCTTCTAGGTTGTTGTGAGGACTAAATGAGATAACGGATATATAATGGATATAGGCCGGTTATACATAAAAATATTAGCAATTATAAAGAACTTTCTCTTTCAAGCTCATAAAAATCTTTTCTCTCAACTTTTAGGTTCTTAGGAAGTGTCTATGAAAAGATATGATTCCATCTTCTTTTCTTAATTTCTCCTTAGTGAAAAAGGAAAAATTGCTCTCTAAATAAAACAGTACAAGAAAAAAAAAAAAGAGAGAGAGAGATCCACCAGACTCATCTATATATAAATATAAAAGCCAAGTGACAGAAATGACAGAACAATTGAAAGGACCAGTTGCTATGATATGCACTGTGGCGGCAACCAGCTCGATAAGCGCATTGATCACACCCTCCAATCTGGTATGGCCTCTCCCCTCCCTGCTGGCCTGGCCCTGATCAGCCCCCATGGGGGAGGGCTGGCCAGACCCCACCCATACACTAATTTGTGCACCAGGCCTCTAGTAATTGAATTATCATAGAACATTAAAATGAAAACAATTCCTACCTTTTTGTATTGGCTGAAGATGCACTGAAGATGGGATAGACAATGGACTCAGAAGAAACTGGTAGAGGAAAAGTTAATAATTTGTATTACAAAATAAACTCAAAGCTTTATATCTTAAGATTTTTAAAGGCTAATGGGACCAAATACATTTCTTAAAGTTAAGATGTAATAGCAATCAAGACAGTATGATATTGGCAAAAAGATTGACAAATAGATCAAGGGAACAAAATAGAGAGCCTAAAAACAGACCCATGCAAATAAAATCAACTGATTTTTTACAAAAAGGCAAAGGTACTTCAATGGAGAAAGGATAGTCAACAAATGCTGGAACAACTGAACATCCATATGCAAAAGAATGACTATTCTTACATATATACCCATGCTCAAAATGGATCACATATTTAAATGTAAAATGTGAAACTATAAAACTTCTAGAAGAAAATATAAGAGAAAAATCTGCATGAACCTGAGTTTTGTGCTAAGTTTCCACACAAAAACACAATAGATGAAAGAAAAATTAAGTTGGAATTATAAAATTTAAACATTTTTCTCTGCAAAAAATACTCAAGAAAATGAAAGGACAAGCCACAGAGTAGGAGTAAATACTTATTATACAATCCTATTTCTGATCGAGGACTTTGTATCCAGAATACAAAAAAACCCTCTTACAACTCAACAATTAGAAAACAGTCTAATTCAAAATGGGCAAAAGATCTGAGTACAGTTCAACAAAGATATACATGGGAAGGGAAGTTTTCTCTTACCTGCCTTGTTTTCACTATGAGAATCTTCTGAAGAAAAACACTTATTTTCTTCAGATTTATACTCTCTTGAAGAAACTACTCCACTTGATGAATCCTGAAGATAATAGGTAAAATTTAAGAAAACCTTTTTTCACTTAGTGAATGAATTCAATAGATCTGTTTCTAAAACAAAATACCTAATTTATTATGAATTATTTTATAACATGATTTTAAATTCTCAATTTTTATCCTATTTTAAGGAGAATTTCCTGCATATTTACTAAGTATACATAACCCTTTAAAAGACAGTGTAGCCTGGGCTGGTGTGGCTCAGTTAGTTGAGCATCATTCCATGCACTGAGAGGTTGCTGGTTCGATTTCCAGTCAGAGCACATGCCCAGGTAGGGGCATGAAGGAGGCACCCATATGATATTTTCTCTCTCAATGATGTATGTCTCTCTCTCTCTCTCTCTCTCTCTCTCTCTCTCTCTCTCTCTCTCTCTCTAATTAAAAAAAAAAAAAAAAACAGTTAAAAGACAAGTTTGTCATTTGTCATCCTATAAAAAATGTATTATAATTCTGGTAAAGATGGCAGACTTAAGCTAATTGAACATCCTTTTAGTAATTCATCAAAAAAGAAATAGTGCTGCCGAAACCAGTTTGGCTCAGTGGTAGAGCGTCGGTCTGCGGACTGAAAGGTCCCAGGTTCGATTCCGGTCAAGGGCATGTACCTTGGTTGGGGGCACATCCCCGGTGGGGGGTGTGCAAGAGGCAGCTGGTCAATGTTTCTCTCTCATCGACGTTTCTAGCTCTCTATCCCTCTCTCCTCCTCTCTGTGAAAAATCAATAAAATATATTTAAAAAAAAAAAAAAGAAAAGAAAAGAAATAGTGCTAAAACCAGTTTGGCTCAGTGGAGGCCTGCGGACTGAAAGGATCCAGGTTCCATTCCAATCAAGGGAATGTATCTTAGTTGCAGGCACATCCCAGTGGGGGATGTGCAGGAGGCAGCTGATCGATGTTTCTCTCTCATGGATGTTTCTAACTCTCCAACACTCTCTTTTCCTCTCTGTAAAAAATCAATAAAATATATTTAAAAAAAAAAAAAAAAGTGAAAATGGCAAAAATTTCACCAGTAGCCACCAAACTAGAAAGGGACTTTTTGTCATAGAAAGAACATTCTGGAATAGTTGAGGAGGCTTCAAACTCCACTTTTCGGGCAGGAGCTAGGAAGTGGAAAAAGCAAAATAGAATTCTGATAAATTTTACTAATACTATAGTTTGGTGAAATTTAGAAAATATATAGTTTGTGGGAAAGGAAAAAAACTTTTGCTTAAAGTAGAACTGCTTTACAAGACCATAATATCTCAGTAGAGATGGGATAATACATCAATTTGCCATTTTGTAGGGCTCCATAACAAGTTGGGGAAAGGTTTTAACCCAATAACGAAAACGGGCTTTATCCCTAGCTAGTAGAAATGAACAGTAGTAGTGAGTACTTAATAAAATATTAAGAGAGGAGAGCCTAGTTCCATAAATTTAAGATACACAAAAGTGCAGCTTCTCAGACTGATGACAACTAGATAGAATCTAATATCCAGACCCTTAAAATGATGCTCAGAAAATAAAGCAGAAAAGAGCATTCAGATAATTTGTCATGTCACTCTACCAAATATAGAGAATACTAACTCGATGACTGGATGCTGGATTGAGATTTAATTTTAGCTTGAGTGGTCCCCCCAATTTTTAAAAATTTAGGCACTTTATATACAGTGAAGTGCACAGATATAAAGTATACAGTTTGATGAATTTTGATAAACTTATATGTAACCTAAATTCAAAACCCCCATCAAGATATAGGTTTTTGACCTGACTGTTATGGCTCAGTGGTTGAGCGTCGACCTATGAACCAGATCAGGGTATACGGGTTACAGGCTCAATCCCCAGGAGTGTGCAGGACGCAGCCAATGAATGATTCTCTCTCATCATTAATGTATCTATCTATCTCTCCTTCTCCCTTTCTCTTTGAAATCAATAAACATATATATATTTTAAAATTTATATATACACACACACACACACACACACACACACACACACACCTACCTATATTCTATTTCTAACAGACATTAGTTAGTCTGGGCTGGCTGTATTAAATTTATGAGAAAGATCAAAAGCATAGAATGGCAACCATGAAAACATACTACAAAAAAATAAACAAAAATCCAACTAGTGATATGTTAACAGTGATCATCTCCAAGTAATGGGATTACAGAAGATATACTTTTATACTTTCTGTGACCTCTAAATTTTCTACAATCTAGTACTTTAAATAATAAGCTAAAACAAAACACCATATGCTCATACTCTGGAAACCTACTACATGAATTTTGTTATTTCTACTTTCTAAAAACACTATCGAATAAAAGTTGTTAAGTTTTTCTGGACTTTAGTTCGTCATGAGGAAATTTAATAAAATGTATACGTTAATGCCAAGGAAATGTTGGTAGGCTTCCTTAAGCCAAAAAGGGGAGAAAAGTCCCATCTTTCCATCCTGCCTCTAAATTTTTTATAGTGATTAAACTATGCTATTTGGTTTTATAAAAGCAGTCATCCAGAATGCAAAAAAAAAAAACATTTTGTTCAATTATGTTACATATATAGTATGTATATTGAAGTTTTGTTATATAGCCAACTTAGTTTTTAAAATGGTATGTTTAGTTTTCTTTACCTTTATTAATTTCTCTTCATTTTTATTTCTTATACCCAGAAGCTCAATGTTCAGTTCCTTTTGTAGCAACAAGCACTTTGGCACTTGCCTTGTCTCCAAACTTTTTCTTTCATTGACAGTCTCTACATCAGAATCTTTAATCATTTCTGATTTATTCTCTTGGGTGAGTCCCAGTAATGACTTGTTTTCCAGAGACAATTTTCTGAGAGAGGATTTTTTCCTAACAAAAAATGCTGCTCCACCCTGGAGTGTTACTTGTGGTTTGACTTTTTGGCTTAGAACTCGAGGAGCATTTAAATTATTTTCAGCTGAATAACAACTATTCTCTTTCTCTACAATTGGTTTGTAGGCCACTCGATTTTGCTTGGAATTTTTAGAATTCTTTGATACAGGTTTGTTGCACCTATAACTTGGTTGACACTTAGCAGTTAAACTCTTCTGTGGTTTTTTCTTCATCTTCTTGGAGCAGATTGGTTTTTCCTGCATTTTTTCTGTCACACTGGGAAAAGATGTATCTTCATTATTAGTTTTTAGACAAATGGATCTACTCTCTTTTATCATCTTTCTCTCCAATGGATTGAGGTAACACTTACTAATATTTTTGTTGTAAAAGGATACAGTAGACACACATGATTTAAAAGGTGAACCTTGATTTGCAGATGGTAATCTCTCTGTTTTAGTTGTTTTGAGAAGACTTGAAGTGAAATGGCCTGGTTGAGAGCAATTTTCTTCATTATTTTGGCAAATATATTTTTTATTAGATGATGAAAACATATTTTCAGTAAAATCCAAAATTACTTTCTTTGATGGAATGTCAGATAATAGGCTAAAAAAAAAAAAAAGTCCATTGTTAAGAACTGTTATTTTGCTTCAATCTTTTATGTCAATCTACTAAGTAATAAAAAATTCTACCCAATGGTCACACTACAAAACAATATATCTTCTCACCAAACATCCATTCACACACATTATTTGTTTTAACAGTAGGATTCTCAAATTACATTTTTACCAAAGCATTCAATTATTTTTCAAAAGACAGTGCTTATGAAAAGAGTTTACAAAGAAGCTTAGAGATAAGTGTTTTAAAATCTATTTCAAAGTCCTGGCCATATACAAATTATAGCCCATATACTTTGCTTGAGTGGCTATAAGTCCCCTAAAATGATTAATTCTATGTAATTAGGGCCTGTTCTGTGGGGAATAATTTATATCTGGTATGACATGTGATAAAGTACTAAGTACCCAGACTTTTTAGCATTGCTTACAAACAAGTATCTATTGCATGCAAAATGCTATGTTAAAAAAATAATAATGAAAAAATAAAAAACAATTTAAAAAAAATGCTATGTTACATAAAGAATAAAAAGGAGCAAGGTAATAAAAGATTTGACATACATTTAGAAGCCACAGAGAAACAGCTCTTTCTCTAATTTCCTGGCAAAAGCATTAAATAATCCTATGTAATACAAGGCTAATATGCAAATCAACAGAATGGTGGAACAACCGGTCACTATGACTCGCACTGACCATCAGGGGCAGAAGCTCAACACAGGAGCTGCCCCTTGGTGGTCACTATGTTCCCACAGGGAGAGTACCACTCAGCCAGAAGCCCTGAGCCTGGCAAGCACAGTGGCGGTGATGGTGGGAGTCTCCCACCTCCTTGGCAGTGCTAAGGATGTCCAACTGCTGGCTTAGGCTCAGTCCCCACAGAAAGCGGGCCTAAGCTGGCAGTCAGACATGCCCTGAGGACTCCCCTACTGCGAGAGGGTACAGGCCAGGCTGAGGGACTACTCCCTGAGTGCACAAATTTTGTGCACTGGGCCTCTAGTTAATTTTAAGAGCTTACAGTGTTCCCAGACTAGAATTAGAATATAAAATATTATTATAGCTACAAGAAGTAGGCCAGTGAAAGAAGGGAAATTTTAAGAGAAGATAAGGAAGTCCAAAGGTGAATTCTTCTTTTCTGAATTTCTACCTATAGGATGAGACTCACTTGTCACAGTTCAAAGAATTCTGCTTCCTCTTTCTTGGAGTAAAAGCTGACATCTTCTTAACTGAAACCCTAAAAGCAACAAGATAATTACAATTACCAAATTCACCCAAATGTGCATAAAAACCAGTACACCAAAATTATATCTTAAAAGTTTGAAAAAGCCGAAACCGGTTTGGCTCAGTGGATAGAGCGTCAGCCTAGGGACTGTAAGGTCCCAAGTTCGATTCTGGTCAAGGGCATGTACCTTGGTTGCAAGCATATCCCCGGTGGGGGATGTGCTCTCATCGATGTTTCTAACTCTCTATCCCTCTCCTTTCCTCTCTGTAAAAAAATCAATAAAATATATATATTTTTTAAAGTTTGAAAAAATTTTCAGATGGGTAATGGTTATAGAACCAAGAAAAGAATAATTTCTAAAGCAAATTACTTTAATAAAGATTTAAGAAATTTTTTTTTTTTTTAAAAAGGAAAAACACTACATCACAGTAGCAATGAGAACAGGAAATACAAGCAGGGAAATGACTCTATCAGAAAGGAAGTATTTTTTACCCCATGTTCTCTTGTAATTAGCCTGATTAATTCCCACCAAGTTAAAACACTTTTCATCTAGAACGCCTCCCTTGACATTGCCCTCAGCCTACACCTGCCACTGTGAGATGCTGTCCTATGCTTCCAATCCATCTATGCTTCCTTTATATTCCATTTAACACATTTTCTGGTTGATATAACGGTTTCTCAATAACCTGTATATGCAATGAATCGTTTGTAATTTTCATCAGAATCCAGAAAAAAAAAAAAAAACACACAGGGAAAGCATAAACCTCTCCTATTTTATTAGCCAAGGACCCTGGACCAAGCCGCTTGTTCACTTTTTTTTTTTTAATATATTTTATTGAATTTTTACAGAGAGGAAGGAAGAGGGATAGATAGTTAGAAACATTGATGAGAGAAACATTGATGAGCTGCCTCCTACACACCCCCCACTGGGGATGTGTCTGCAACCAAAGTACACGCCCCTGACCGGAACCGAACCCCGGACCCTTCAGTCTGCAGGCAGATGCTCTATCCACTGAGCCAAACCGGCCCCGGCAGCTTGTTCACTTTTTATGTTATCCTTGTCACCATTTTATTGTTTGTTGTTAATCCTCACCCGAGGGCATTTTTTTTTTTTTTTAAGAAAATGAAAGGGAGGTGGGGAGACATAGAGAAAAATCCACGTATGAGAGCCACATCGCCTGGTTGCCTCCCCAACACGCCCCCACGGGGAGGGGATGAGCCAGCATCTAACACACAAGCCCCTGACGGGAGTAGAACCTGAGACCCTGCGACCCTTCAGGCCGCTGGCCGATGCTCTGAACAGCGAGCAAAGCGGCCAGGGCCGCTGGTTCCCTTTTATAAAATGCCCTGACCTTCTACGGCGGCTGAAAATAAACAGTAAAAGTTTCCTCTTGCCTTCGGGTCAGGTTTATATTTTTAAAAGCGTGATTTCAAAGTTAAACGGAAAGACCCGGGTCTCTGGGAACTAATGTCTAGCTGCGGCCCCTTTTTACTCCGGTAAAGCTATTACTCTTCAAATCATAAGTTAAATTTATTTAGAACTAAAAATGTTCCGAGAGTAACATACAGAAGCTGGTTAACACAAAGATACGGTAAAAGTAATAGCTAACAACCAATGACTGTGCTAGGAACATTCCAGCTCCCCAAAGCAAGAACCTAGTTATAACCTTTACGACGGAATGAGGAAACGAGTGCCTTTCGGGGCAAAAAGACCAGAAAACCCCAGCGTAGGGAAGACAGAAACCCGGCGACCTGGAAGTGTGCCGAACCGGCAGGTGGCTTCGGTGTCAAGCCGCCGACGCGCCAAGTCCAGAGGGAAAGTTCTCTCGCTCCTTGACACGCAGCCCCACCACGTCCTATAGAATCTCCAGCCCCCCGCGTCCCATCCCAAACCGCAGCCCTCACAGCAATTACCTGCACCTCTGAGCTGGCGAGCTCTCCCCAGCCAAGCCCGCTGTATTCAAATTATCCCGCGCCCGGCGAGGCGGAAGCTGCTGCGTTCTGATTGGCCGCTTCTCAGAGTTTCCAGAAACTGACTCGGTGATTGGTCGTGCTCTAGTTATTGCCCCACCCACTTCAGAGGCGGTCTCCAAGATTCTCCCGCCCTTGGGAGGCCAAACGTACTCTGCTTCCCGAAAGTCAACCACAATCCCTTGCGGCCAGGCCTTGTTTAGGTGCGTTCTGGGAGTTGTAGTTTTCCCGTAACATAAAGGCGCCCTTTTGAACATCCTGGGGTTCACTTGGTGTAAGATGTTTTTGTGAAGTAACCTTTTCGATATAAACTTATATTTCAAGTTTGCAGCCTTGGCGTTAGTTAAACTTTTTATTTGTAATACGTTAGGTTTCTAGCATTTTTTTTTAACTTTTCAAGTTAAATTTAAAAATTTAAATCATGGCACTAGTATCTGGTATGTGCCAGACATTCTTGCACGCTTTACGTGTGTTGTTTTATTTACTCCACATCACAATCTATGAGATATGTATTACCATTCCCATTTTACAGAGGACTGAAAACAATCATTATTTATAGGATATAACTAGGTTCCTACTTTGGGGAACTGGAATGTTCCTAACACAGTCATTGGTTGTTTGCTATTACTTTTACCGTATCTTTGTGTTACCAACTCCTGGTACTCTTTGAAACATTTTTAGTTCTAAGTATATTTAACTTATGACATAAGAGTAATAGCTTCAGCCGAAACCGGTTTGGCTCAGTGGTAGAGCGTCGGTCTGCGGACTGAAGGGTCCCAGGTTTGATTCCAGTCAGGGGCATGTACGTTGGTTGCGGGCACATCCCCGGTAGGGGGTGTGCAAGAGGCAGCAGGTCGGTCTTTCTCATCGATGTTTCTAGCTCTGTAAAAGGAGCAATAATATATATATATTTTTTTAAAAAAGAGTAATAGCTTCACCAGAGTAAAATCATTATCAATTTACAGCAGAAAGCAATCTGAGATTCACAGGTTTGTAATTTGTCCCATCTCACAAGTAACAGTTGGTTGGTTTTTTAAAATATGTATTTTTTATTGGTTTCAGAGAGGAAGGGAGAGAGAGATGTAAACATCATTGCTAAGAAATAACCATTGATGGGCAGCCCTTCCTGCAAACCCCCTGCTGGGGATCAAGTTGGCAACCCTGTATGTGCCCTCCCTTGGAATTGAACCCAGGACCCTTCACTGCAGGCCCTTCACTCTATCCACTAAACCAAACTGGCTTGGGCAGTTGGTGGATCTTAAAGGCAGAACAGTGGTAGTCCAATTCCAAGAAGTGTATTGCCTGTGGGTAATATTAACAACTCACTTGAGTGTTATATTCTAACTCTTCCCTCCCATTAACGTATTTAACCCTAACAAAACAATCTATGAATTATTTTGCTCCACTATCTATACCATCTACATTTTGCAGATTAAGTGAAGCACAGAAAAATCAAAAGGTGTGCCTTACAAATGGTAGAGTTAGAATGACAATAGTGGAGGAATTTGGGTTCATTCAAAACTTAATGAACTAAGGAAGTGTCAGGCACTGTGATTGGTGGAGTGAACACCCAGCTGTGAAGAAGACAGTTTCTGTTCTTCTGGGAGCCCAGGTGGGTCAGGGGGTGGAGTAGGGGTGTGGGGAAGCAGATAAAACCAACTGATAAGCCTCAGGACTTAACCTTCCACTGGGTGAAGGTTCTGAAAACAAATTCAGCTAATGACATTTTTCTTCTTTTCTTTTCTTTTTTTAAAATATATTTTATTGATTTTTTACAGAGAGGAAGGGAGAGGGATAGAGAGTTAGAAACATCGATGAGAGAGAAACATCGATCAGCTGCCTCCTGCACACCCCCTTTCAGTCTGCAGGCCAACGCTCTATCCACTGAGCCAAACCAGTTTCGGTGACATTTTTTCTTTTAAGATGGTGGCATTTGCCCTGACCAAGGGTCCCAAGTTCGATTCCAGTCAAGGGCATGTACCTTGGCTGTGGGCTCATCCCCAATGGGGAGTGTGCAGGAGGCAGCTGATTGTTTCTCTCTCCCTTCCTCTCTGTAAAAAATCAATAAAATATATATTTTTAAAAAGATGGTGGCATTTCAAGGGGATTGAGGTAGGTAAAAAAGGGTAGGGGGGGGGCTAAACAGTGATGGAGACTTGACTTGGGATGGTGAGTGCACAGTACAATACACAGATGATGTATATTATACAATTGTACACCTGAAACCCATGTAATTTTATTAACCAATGTTGCCCCAATAAACTCAATTTTAAAGAAGAATAGCCCTCATGTGGAGGTATTATTGATATGAGAAAATGCTAAGTAACTGATTTACTATCTGAAAAGGGATTTACTATTGGGGAAATTGAGGGAAGAAGAGACTGATCATAAACTGCACCTATGGATGAGGACAATGGGGGATGGGGAGGGGGCAGAGGGTGGGGTGGGAACCTGGTGGAGGGGGGAAGAAATGAGGAACCTTTGTAATAATATGAACAATAAAGATTGATAAAAAAAAAATAAAAAATAAAATAAATAAAAAAATAAAAAAAAATAAAGAAGAATAGTCCTAACCGGTTTGGCTCAGTGCAGGAGGCAGCTGATCGATATTTCTCTCTCATCAATGTTTCTAACTCTCTATCCCTCTCCCTTCTTCTCTGTAAGAAAATCAATAAAATATATTTTCTTTAAAAAGAATAAAAATAAAATACGGCTTTTCCCGCTGTATTTCCCAACCACCAGTCGTCCTGGAACCATCCTCTGGGCCTAGAAACACCGCGGCCCCGCCCAACGCCCGCCTCCTCCGCGCCAGGATAAAACATGGCGCCCCCGGAGCCTGCGTTATGACGCTGCCCAACATCCGCCGGAAGTGCGCGCAGAGGCTCTCGGGAACCGGCGGCCTCAGCGTCTGGTATCCGGAGCTTCGAGAATCGGGTGGTGCCGCTCCACGCCGGAGTCGCCCACCGCCGCGATCATGGTGTTCTACTTCACCAGCAGCGGTGAGTGGGCGCCGCGACCCCGGCGTCCCTGCCCCGCGGGGCGCTCCCGAAGCCGGGACCCCCCCCCCCCCCTCAGGCTGTCGCGGAGCCTGGGACCTCGCTGGGAAGCGCCGCCTCCGCGCTGGCTGCCTCTGCCCGCGCCTTCCCGGTCCCCTGTGCCGTTCTTTCCGGTGGTCTCCCTCCGAGTGCCCCCTCCTCTGGGCCTGGGGGCGGGGAGGGGTCTGCGGAGAGACTCTTCTTCCCCCCCATCCCACCCCTCCCCTCGCCCCGCGGTTTAATCATCCGGGAGTTGGGATGACCTCCCTTCGTTACCTGGAATTGGGCAGTTTGTGGGCTTCTTGACATCACATTTCAAGACCCACTGTACCACCACCACTACCGTGGCCTTTATTCTGCCTGTGCCCTGGTTAATTATGCACTTTGATTAAAATAAAAAAAGAAAAGGAGACACTTGCCAGCAACTCTGCCTTATGGCAAGCATGCCCTGACCTTCTAGAAAAGGGTTGCAGGGTCTGGGATGCAACGGAGAGCCGTGAAAAGACCCTAGAATGGCAATGAAGCCACTCCCTGGGCAGAGTTGACGTCTCGGATCTTGAAAAGTGACATCGGATGATGTTTCTGGTTTGTTGTTGGCATTCAATGCTGCGTCTAGATTTCCTTTCTCGGTTTATGTGGTTCCCTTTGCTAAAATCACTGTACGATTAAGCACTACACCCTTAAGACAGCTGTGGCTTATCTTCAAAGACCTTTCCCGACCCAGAAGCTCCCACCCAGGGATTGCTTTGATACACCTATTCGGGGACCCCCTTACCACTCCGTGTATACCTTTGACATTGTACTTCAGGTAGTAAATGCCATCTGCCTGAGCTGGAGTGGAAACCCCTGGAAGGCAGGGACCAGATGTCTTCTCTTTATCCTGTTTTCCTAGCATAGTGCTTGGCTCATAATAGTTACTCAGTAGATGGTTTGTTGGGTAAATGAATGTAATCTTTTTAATAACACACTTTGCTATTGCTACTGACCCTGCTTGCTTGTTAAAGGGGAGGTCCATGTTGTTTTTGGGGCCCCCTTTTTTTTAATGGGTACGTAGCGTTTTGTACTTTCTCTTTGGGTCTGGACCCCAATGTTCTCATCTCTAATCTACTCAATTACACGGTCACATCCCATTATTTTTCTCAGTACAATAGTTTAGACTTCCACAGTATGCCATATGCTATTCTCTGCCTCTGTAGATCTGGTTTGTCGTACCCATATTAAAATTACTACACACTACATTCAAACTAGCCTGACAGCATTCATAGGCCCCTGAGCGCATTTTCAGTCCTTCCTCTGTTCTGTTTTGCGCCCTCTGTCATAAGATCACTTGAGCATCTCTGGAGTTTCTCCACTCGTGAAAGTCCCCAACAACATAGATATCTATTCAAGTTTGAAAGGGAACAAAAAGTACAGGCAGGGTATACAGGTATTAAATTATTTTTATGCTGGTTACCTTATTCTTCTCAAAGCTTATTCTAATTCTTTGAGCACTAGTCATACATATGCAGGTGCCCTTAATAGAACAAGAGTGCTTCAGCCAGTGTGTGAATCATATTTTTCTCATTGGCTTCCATTATAATGTCAGAATTGCTTTCTGTGGGAAAAATATTTAGCCTCTAGTAAAACTGCATTTGTGCAGCAAATCTTTTAAAATTGCAAAGTTAATGGGAAAATTATAACTTTTCCAGGGAAATAGTAAAACTACATATTCCAAACAGGAAAAACAAAACAAAACAAAAACTTGAAATGCAGAATCTTTAGGAAATGACTTCGTAGAGATAGCCAAGCTTTCAACCAAGTGGTTACCACATAAAACATTTTTTAAAAATGGGGAGAAAAGTCTCAGTAGAAAGTGTTTGCCTTTCCTTTTGTTTTAAGATTAGTATCTCTGACTAAAATCTGTTCAATTTTATTCATTCATGCTTTCTCATAATGGCATAATGAGACATTCGCTTTATTGTATTTCCAGTATCAAATTCACGACCATATGTTTTATGGACCCACAAAATACTTGCACTTTGCTCAATGAAGTCCACTTGTACTTTTATGATCCACTTGTACTTTTAGTACCTTTAATAGCATCTATCTTAGGATAAATTGTTCTGTAAAGTATGAGATTATCACTGAGCCTCTAAAATTGGGTTGGTTGCTACACCTGAATCAGGTCTCAAGATGATTCTTTCCCATACTAATCAACCCTTTTATTTGGGTGAGAATAATAACATAATCCAGTTTATTTTTTCTTTATTTGCTTCTTGATCAGCAATCATCCTCATTTTATTTTTAATTTTCTATTTTGACATAATTGCAGTCTTTCAAAAAAGTTATAAGAACAGTAAAATATTTCCTTTTTATTTTTCTCTTAGATTCCCCAAATTCTAACATTTTACCTTTTCTAACCAAATTCTAACATTTGTCTTATCTTAATTTTCCCCTTTTTCTCTAACCCCCACAGACATGCACAATATTTTTTCCTGAACAATTTGTTAGTAAGTTGCAATTTACCCTTAAATACTTAAGTATTTTTTCTAAACTAAGGACATTATCTTATTAATTTTTAAAATATATTTTTATTGATTTCAGAGAGAGGAAGGAAGAGGGAGGGAGGGAGAGAGAGAGAGAGATTGAAACATCAGTGATAAAAGAGAATCATTGGCACCTTCTGCATGCACCCTTCTGGGCATGTGCCCTTGGCTGGAATGGAACCTGGAACCATTCAGTCCACAGGCTGATTGATGCTCTGTCCACTTACCCAAACCAATGTTAATTAGGAAATTACATTGCCACAGTGCTATTATCTAATCAGCCTTTACTAAGTTTTCATCAGTGTCCTAATAATCCTATATCATAAAGATATAATATGCAAATGGTCGTTAAGCTGTGAAGCATAATGACTAAGTAATGACCAGATCTCAGATTAGCTGGAGGTTGGAGGGTGGGGAATCGAGCTATCAGCAGGTAGCCAAGAGCTCCAGGGGTGGGCAGGGCAGCAAGCTGTGGGGAAGGGAAGTGGGGAGGAGGGAGCTACTGGTGCACGGATTTGTGCGTGGGGCTACTAGTGTATAAGAAAGGAAAATTACAAATCATTGCATTCAGTTGTCATTCATTACTCTTTAGTCTCTTCTAATCTGGAGCATGTGCTCAGTCTCTGCCATTCATGACTCAGTTAGTTGAATTGTTTTGTAGAATGCCTCTCAGTTTGGGTTACTAGCAGTTAATGTTCTTAATCATCTCATTTTATAGGTCAACCATCCAAACAGTCATCTGTCATTCTTTTGGCTTAAGTTAGATAGCTTGGCCAACACAGCTTTATTTTATTTTAATCATTTTTAAAATTAATTTTGTTCTGAATGCAAAAACCAACTGTATATTCTGTGAGAAAACTAAGGTAACTTGTTAAGCTGTATATCCTTCTGTACGTACAAAGAAAATGGGTGCATATATTAAAAAAGATATTTAAATATGTATATGCAAACTACATATATATATTTTTACCAATTGAATCTTACTGTATATAGAAAGACAAAAATCATGTGGGCATCTCTTTTTAAATGGGTACATGGCATTTTTAAATGGATGTATTATAATGTGTTTAACTAATATAATTAGTGTTTAGATTGTAAAAAGAACATCACTGCTTGATGAAGTATTTAATTAGTAGGATGTATTCCAAGTGGTGACATAGGATTAACAAGGTACATGTATCAACATGTATAATATTATTGTCAGGTTGTGCAGAGAAACTCTGAAACACTTTAGTTTTACTCCTCTACTTTTGGCATTTGCTATATGCCATGCTAAGGCCTTATCATGCTAATATAGTGCTCAGTTGTAGATAAGTACCATATTTCAGTTAGCTAATCAATGCAAACATTCTCTCCTTTCAAGCTATTTCAACTACTTTCAAGTAATTATGGATTGTAGTCATTATAACTGTTAATTGAACGCATTGGGAGTTTTCTTTCCCCAAGAGAGAGAACCACAATTGATGTACTTCATTACTGAAAGTACAGGCAATCCTGAATTTTAGAATCTACAATGAAAGAATGCTGCTCTTTGGCAGCAGCTCCACTCGCATATGGTGTTCTGTGTTCTGGAGTGACAGCCAACAGACTGCCTAGCAGTGGTCGGCAAACTCATTAGTCAACAGAGCCAAATATCAACAGTACAACGATTGAAATTTCTTTTGAGAGCTGAAAACCGACTTCTGCGCATGGGCCATGAAGTTTCAATCGCACTGTACGTGTGTGTGCCCGAACATGGTATTTTGTGGAAGAGCAACACAAGGGGCCAAAAAGCCACATGTGGCCCGAGAGCCACAGTTTGCCCACCACTGGCCTAGCCCATCCTTTGCCACCTGTGTGTCAGGCTTTGTAGACTGAGAACCCAGTAACTAGGAGTTTAGATCTAAATGGGATCAAATAAGTTTAGGTAGACTAACTTGGAAACCCGGACCCAGTTAGCATATCAGTTAGAAAACTTAACTTTTTGTTTTACTCCAAATGGAGGATGCCCTTGTTAAACACTAGCTCAGCAAAATAAATGTCATTCCTAAGGTAAACCATACCTGGAATATTTGGTTTGATTTAGGATAATGGTTCCTAACGCTGATTTCACACTAGAATCACTTGGAGATCTTAAAAACAAAAACAAAAACAGGGCCTGCCCCCAGAGATCAGGATTTGGTTAGTCTTAGGTGGAGCTGAGGTATCATTAGGCGATTCTAATATGTAATCAGAATTCAGAGTAACATTTCATGACTTTTACAATGTCACTTTTACAAGTTTAAGAGTCATGTTTCTTCCTAATGGAACAGAGATCCCATTATAATTTGTAGCACACCTGAAATGTAATTTAATATTTGCTAACTAGAATTATGAAAAATAAAACTTGACTAAGTATAGGAACCTATTTTTAAGTGATGGGGTGAAGGTATTTTATTGTGCTTTTTTGTTTTTAATTCTTTTGAAGAAGGCAAAAGCAAAGGACTGAACTAAAATTGCATTAAACTCTATTGAGGAAAGTAGCTATTCTGTATAATCTTATATAATAAAAGCTTAATATGTTAAGTGTCCAGTCGTCTATTCAACCAATCAAAGCATAATATGCTAAGGCCCACTGACGTGCACTGACCACCAGGGGGCAGATGATTAGCTTGTTGCTGGGGTCTGGCTGATTGGGACTGAGCAAGATGGGCCAGACACTCCCTGGAGCCCTCCCATGGTTCCTCCCCAGCTGGCCAACCTCCCATGTTCCTCTCAGGCCCCAATCGTGTGTCGGTGGGGTCCATCGGCCTGGCCTGTGCCCTCACCATCTGGGACCCTTCAGGGGATATCAGAGAGCTGGTTTTGACCTGATCCCACAGGCCAGGCCAAGGGACCCCACTGGTGCACGAATTTGTGCATTGGGCCTCTACTTTTTAATAAGGGTCTATAAACTTTCTGTTGGACCAGATTGTAAATATTTTAGACTTTGTGTGACATGTCTCTATAGCTTGTTTCTTCTTTTGCTTTTTTCAACCTGCTGAAACATAAAAATCATTCTTAGCTTGAGGTCTGTCTAAAAACAGGGCTGGATTTGGCCTATCGGCTATGTTTTTTGTCAACCCCAAATCGAAGCATTTGTCGCTTGTTTTTCCTATGAAACACTTTTGGTGATGAAGTTATCTAACCACTTTTTATTTTTGTTTTGTCTTAGTTAACTCATCTGCTTACACTATTTACATGGGAAAGGATAAATATGAAAGTAAGTTTTCCAAAGCATTTGATTTTGAAATTTCCAGAAGGTAAGTGTTAATTGCTTTTCCCTAATGGTTTTTTGGATCTGAGTTTTCAGCTACTACTAACACATTATAAATAACTATAAGGGATTAACCTTCCTAAAATTTAGTTATATTGATGATATTTTAGCTAATTGGACCACCTTTTGCTCAATAGAAACTTTACAAAGAGTTTTGATTTAGGTTGATATGAATCAGAGGTTAACCTTTGCTAATTTAGATTAAATAAAAATAATCTGTGACTTGGTCTTTGAAAAGATCATTTTCTGCACATTTTTACCACATTTAAGGTTAGTGGAAACATATCTGATAGTTTTCTGGGCTGAAGATGGCTCTTCTTTATTTTTATTGTTAAGAGTATTACAGATGTCCCCATTTTCACCCCCTTTCACCCCCTTGAAGATGGCTCTTAAGTCATGAAATATTAACAGTTTTACTTTGTTGACCATTCTTTTCAGAATGAAATACATTATTTCATACTGTACACAATCATATAACTAAATGGTGTACACACTTATGTAACTAAAACAAAAATTTACAAAAAAATCCATATTATTTGCTGTGCCCTCTGTTTTCAGTTTTTTCATGTTTTAAAAGCTAAACAAAACTTGTTAGATTGTGTTTTTGACTCACTCATGAATTGGAACTAAATTTTAAAAAGAAAAACATTGCCTGAGGGATAACCTTTTGACTGCAGGATGGAGATGAAAGTGAAATTTAGGCAGTGAATCTACAGCACTGACCCTCAAGGTACGGAACACAGAAGTGAGGAGAAAAGAAGCACAATAAGAGCTCCAGAGAAAAATGCCAGAATAATCTTCTTCAGGCTTGGAGAACACACTGCTTATCTCTCAGGGTAGTGTAATGTTTTGGAAAAGATAGCTTTTAAGTCAAGCCAATTAAGAGTTACAATTCTAGTTGTTTTAGCAAACTAGCTATAGTTTCTTAACCTCTTTGAACTTCAGGTTTGTTAGCTGTAAGAAGATGATCAAGAGGTGGTATCTATCTTGCAGGGTTGTGAGGATTAATGAAAGAGCCTGAGTAAAGTATCTGAACCATAGTGGACACTGGAGCATCTTTAGTTCCTCAGAGCTGCCTCCTCCCTCACTGGGAACACTCAGGGTTGATGGCTTTGCCTTAGTAGACTGAGAGCTGGCTAATTCACTACAATCACCTTTCTTTAACCTCCAGGTGTTGCTTTTTGTTTCTTTTCTAAAACCATCAGTGTCTGTTCTAGATGCAGTTTGAAATTGACAACAGTTAAACTTGATCCTTTAAAAGAGGCAAGTATAACATTCTTCAGTATGAGATATTTTATCTTAATGAAATAAATAAGGCCAAAAATTAAAAGATGTCAAAGAGCAGTGATGTAATTATATACAGGGTGTCTCCAAAAAACGTATACACACTCTTTTGGGATAGCTCAATTGATGTATCTTTTCAGATTTAACCCATTGGAATTATTAATTACTCAAAGTGTGTATACATTTTTTGGGGGGCCCCTATAGTTAGTATATGTATACTTATTTATATTTAAGATATGACATGTGCATAATATATAGCATATATATGATATATAATAATGTGATTGGTAATTGTTATATAAATGTAGTTATAAATCAGATCTATATAAATAGTTTAGAACCTTGCTATAATACTGGTTGCTTTAAAGCAGAATCAGTATAAAACAAGACTACCACATCCTACCCAAGAGAGTAAAGCAAAACAGAATAATGTAACTTACTTATAATGAATTTATGACATTGATTCTAGGTGTGACTTAATGGTTTGCAGCACAGAAAAGCAGTGGAAGCATAGGGTCAAGTTTCTTATAAGAATTTTTTTCTTATTTTGATTTTTTTGTTTTGTTTTTTTGAGAGAGAGGGAAGGAGAAAGAAACATTGATTGGCTACCTCCTGCATGCCACCTCCTCACTCCCACCCCCACCAGGGATCAGGCTGAAACCTGAGCCTGGGCCCTAACCCAGAATCAAACAATACCCAACCAACTGAGTCACACAGGCTAGAGCAGAAGATATAACATTTTTAAAGCACCCTATCCTAGTGCTCCTACCACATCACACTTAATTTCTAATAGCTTTGATGACTTCAGACTAAGGGCTGGATGGAATATAGATGCATTTTTAATTGAATTTTTTACTTTCACTAAACAGCTTTCAGGTGTATTCCTTTTTTAAGCCAGCAGGTGTCACCAGGGAGCCAAACATTGCCTAGGAAAAGGTTTTTAGATTTCCCTTATTTTTTCATTACCCTTCTGCTATTTGCTCAGCTTCCCACTTAAGCTAGTAGATGGCCCTTCAGAGAACTCATGGTGCCTGTAGTTGCTAAGAGTACCTTCAAACAAAGTTTACCATCCTTTTGCTTTTCTGGGAAAAAAATACCCCATTGAGTTGAATAGATAATCCTTTTTTGGGTACATTTTTTAAAAATTTTTTATTTCAGAGAGGAAGGAAGAGTGAGAAAGAAACATTGACGATGAGAATCATTGATCATCCGCCTCCTGCATGCCCCCTCTGGGAAATGAACCCCCAACCCGAGCGTGTGCCCTTAACCAGAATTGAACTAGAGAACCTTCAGTCCATAGACTGACACTCTGTCCACTGAGCCAAATCGGCTAGGGCTTTTGGATACATATTAGATTATATATTATTTTGTTTATCTTAGAATTTTTAAATTTGTGTCTAATACTTCAATGGTGTCTGTATTAAACACAATTAATTACTAATTATTCATAGCTATGAGAAGTACAAGATTGGGCAAAAGCAGATTTACAGTTTTTCATATAGAAAATAATACAATAATTTATAAACAAGAACAAACTATTTTGCATACTCAGAACTAAAACCTACTTTTGCCCCACTCTGTTTTATATGGATATAATCTTTCTGTGGTGAGATATATATTATTTGACTTAAAAATGTGCATAATGTTTGAATCCTTTCCTTTTAGAAATACACCTTAAGGAAATAATCAGATATATGGACATACTTATTTTAAAACTAGAAGCCTGATGCATGAAGATTCATGCAAGAATGGGCCTTCCTTCCCCTGGCTGTTGCCACTGCCTTCACTCTGGCCAGAGCCGCCTGCCTTTCCGCCTTCCCACACTGCCCAGAGTCTTGGAGGGCTGGGGTGGTGTGGAATGCCTGGTTCATCACCATGGCAACAATACCTTGCCCCCAGCCACTCAGCACTCCTGTATGCAAATTAACCTGCATCTTTGTTGGGTTAATTTGCGTACTCCTGATTGGCTGGTGGGAGTCCAGAAGGTACGGTCAATTAGCATGTTACTCTTTTGTTAGGTAGGTATTTATTGGAGTAATCCAAATGTCAACAACAATCCAAATGTAAGTTTATCCATATGATAGAATTAAGTTATTACATTCATTGGTTGATTCTGGTATGTGTCCTGACTGGGGATCGAACCTGCAATTTTGGTGTATACTCTAACCAATTGAGCTGTACTGGCTGCATGAGAGAGAACTTACTTTTAACATTTAGCTATTTCTTCTATTTTATTTCCACGTGACAGAATTGAGGCGAACTTTATTTTCTTTTTTATACTTTGGGTGTTTGATTTATTCCTTCATTTTCTGTAATTTTATAATTGAGAAGATTTTTTTTTTAAGAAGTAAAATGTAATCCATTGGTTTTAGCAAAAGCATTTTTACAGTCAAACCTTGGTTGTTGACCAAAATTTCAGTTTTCGAGCTGACAACCTTTTCAGAATACCTCAGCATGATAAAAAGCATCTCTTAGGCAACAAAGGAGAGAATGCTTTTGTTGCTGGCTAAATCTACCTTTAGCACAATTCAAAGCATAAAGAGGCCATCAGGAGTGCTAATGTTGGTAGGGTTGTAAAAGTGCTCACGAATCAGCTAGTATGGGCAATTGAATGGAGTGAAAAACTGTTGTTGATTTGGATAAAGAAAAAGCAGTTAGTTGATGATAGCATTTTGTAGGCAGTGATATATGAAAACTTCCTTTAAGGTTAGTACAGTGTTTGGCAAACTCATTAGTCAACAGAGCAGAAAACCGTGGCTTGAGAGCCGCAGTTTGCCAACCACTGGGCTAGTAGGGGATGGTTTAATGTAAGAAAAGAAGTATATTTATTTATAGATTAAGAAGTTCATTAGACATGTACTGTATATAAGAATCATTTGGGGATGAACTAATTCAACTTACATTATTTCAAGAGGGAAGAAATGATTTGGATTTTAACAAATTGCTTCTTAAGCAGACTTCTAGTACGAATTAAGTTCAAGAACTGAGGTTTCACTGTATAAGTGTTATTTCAGTGATTCAATTTTCTAAGATAAGCTTGTCAAGCTCAAAGGCTAACACAGGCCAAAAAAGGTTTAAGTTTATGTGGGCTGCAAAAACCCAAAAGCTTCAATTGTCATAGAAACGTAGGTTTATTTTGATACAGACATGCTGAATACAAAGGGCTCAAGTAAATGAGTAATCGTTAACATCAAATAATAATAGAATATTTTAATAAAAATTAATATTTTTCTTTAGCATTAATTTACCAGGTCTGGAATAACTGCACAAATTAATAAGTGTAACACAAACCTATTTTCTTGTTCTCTGAAAGTGAAATATTTCCTTTTGCACACACCAAACAAGTCAGTACAAGACTAGTGACTTGGCAATCGGCTGCACACCATTTCTTTCCACTAATACTAATAGTATTTGCTATTAGTATTAGTGGAAAGAAATGGTGTGCCTGCCTGTAAGGCCTGTAAGGAAAATAAATGCAACACAATTATAGTAATCAGTTATTAGCGAACATTGTAGTTTGTTATTAATAATTATGTATAACAGAAGATTGTAAAAATTAAGTTAAGAAATTTTTATTAAAACATTTCTTACATGTCATTATATTGACTGGGGCCACAAAAATATTCGTTGTGGGCCACAAGTTTGACATGCTTGTTCTAAGACATCATCTAACTAACTGCTCTGATTTGTCAGTTTTATTATCTTCAAATAGAACAATCTTTGAACTTTATAATATTATTATAAAATAATTATAACAATTACAATTGTCCAGTTGTAGAAACTATTTTTACAGAATTGTTAAGCATCAAAGACTCTGAAATTACTCATTTCTTCTTTAAGGGAGGAAAATAAATTTGAGGAAAGGATTGATATTTCTCCCTTTCCAATCCTATATAATAAAGAACTAATATGCAAATGGTCCTCACGCCCTTACACTGTCACTCCATTATGGCTCAGACAGTCAACACTGGGGAGAGAGGAATGGGGATCAGCCAAACACAGATGAGCTCGCAAGAGAGGAATGGGGACCAGCCAGACTGCTGCCTGGGAAAGAGAAAAGCCATCAACCCCACAGTCCCAAGCACCAGCAGCTGGGGCTGCAGCCTGGGAGAGGGACAAACCGCCTGCCCCATAGTCCTGGGCACCTGCAGATGCAGCCCTGGCAAGGCTACCCTCCCACAGTTCCCTGGGGCTGTAGCTGGCCCAAGGAGGGAATCATGGGTCCCGGGTGTTGGACAAGACAGAGGTGGTTAGAGGAGATCAGGCCAGCAGGGGAGTAGTTAGCGGTGATCAATCAGACCAGTAGGGGAGTAGTTAGGGGCAATCAGGCAGGCAGACAAGAGGGGTTAGGGGTGATTAGGTAGGCAGGCAGGCAAGCAGTTAGGAGCCAGCAGTCCCAGATTGCAAATGGCAGTTGGACATCCCCTAAGGGCCCCAGATTGAGAGGGTGCAGGCAGGGCTGAGGGGCCTCCCTCCTGCCCTCTCCCCACCCCACCCCCCATGCACTAATTTTGTGCACCAGGCCTCTAGTTATCTATTATCTGGCATGTCTTCATTTGACGGTTTATTACTTTTTCTTTGTTCTCTTGTATCTCCTTGTAGATGAGGATCTAATAAAGTATGGCTGGCCTGAAGATATTTGGTAAGTAACAATTTGGGTTCTGCTTTCAGTGGATCATTATTTACTTTCTTAGACCTGGCCAGCCACCTGAATCCTATGATTAAAACTTTTCCATCTTCTGCTTCCACTACTCATTCTGACCCTTGTGATGTCTGTCTCCTACAGCCTCATTCTGCCTATAGAGTGGAATATGATCTCCACAGCTCCTAACACCCCTACCAAATGCTCTCCCCAAAGATAAGCTTATGGATCCTATTACTTTAATAATAATAATCTCTATCATAAAAAAAACATGATTGTGACGCCATCACGGTGGAGCAACCAAAGACTGGCCATCAGGAGGTTGAGTGTGCAGCCGCCGGGGGGAGGGAGGGGTCTTGACACAGGTGCGGGTGGGCAGGCTGTGAACTCTGCCAGGCGCACGAAGGTGGGTGGGACCGCGTGATTTCACGTGCTGGACTTCTAGTAATGAACAATATTGAGCATTTAACTATATGCCAAATACTGTTAAATGTTTACTCCATTAATACATTTAGTTTCAATCAACCCTGTGAAATAGTTACTGATATGCCCATTTTTCAGATAAGGAAACTAAGGCTACGAGAAACTGAATAGATCTGCTCTGGTTATTGCTGGCCTCTGGTTAGCTGTAGTTCTAAATCACAACTTCTCTGTCCCTCTAAGCTCCTACTCTTGGCTGCAGGTCACTTCTTTCTTCCCTCAAGCTGTGGCTGTGGATCTCTCCGGACCTCTTTTCTCCTAGTGGGCCCGGTCCTTCACTTTATTCCCTACAGTGGCAGAGTCAAGGCTGCCACTTTTTAAAAGAGTTGATTTTCAGTAAAGTATACAGCAGTGAACATTTAGTAGGGAAAATATTACAGAGACTAACTGAAGCTACCCCTAGACTCAGTTCACTTATTTTGTATCCTCAGACCTGTCTAAAGGGTGCCTCCACTGCTGCCCCTTTATGAAGGGCTAATTCATGACCCCAGTGGAAATGCTTTCCTGTCTGTCTGCTTCTCTAAAGTCTACATGCCAGGAACCAAGAGACACTAGGAACTGGAGGAATTTTAAAGTCTTTTTGTGCCCCCTGTCCCAGCACAGTGGCCCATCTTCTGAATTCAAATATGTCATCGAGATAGACAATGCTTGGTACTCCCTTACCTCAGGTGGACAGTTTGCACTGCTGAGGGCTTCTGGGCTGGCTGCTGCCTACCTTCCTAAGACCCTTGATTGTAAGCCCCATGAAGACTGCTTTGTTAACTATGAGGTTCCCAGTACCTAGCATAAGACCTGGCACATGGGTTCAGTAACTATTTGTTGACTTCCTAATCGACTAGCTCTCTGCCTGTGTAGAAATGATCTCCTCTGGGCATTTTTTTCACAATAATTACATTCTGATTATCTCCATTTTGAGCACCTGTCACCCCCAACAGATTGTTTCAGTTGCCCTTAAAGCCCAAAGATTTCCAGACTCTGTCAAGGGGGATAAGAATGGCTGCACCTGTTATGTAATTACCTTTTGTAAATCTTTTAAAAATATTTTTTACATTGATTTTGGAGAGTAAGGAAGAGGGAGAGAAATATAGAAACATGATTGATGAGAGAGAATCATTGATTGGCTGCTTTCTGCATGCCCCCCACTGGGGATTGAGCCTGCAACCTGGGACCTTTCATTTTGCAGGCCAATGCGCTATTCACTGAGCCAAACCAGCTAGGGCAAGACTCATGTTTTTATACATCGCCTGCCCTGAAGGTAGAATTGTACTTACTTGCCTGAAAATGGTGTATACCAGCATTGGTATTCCTATATGTGTTTTAGTACTTTGACTATTTATTTATGAACCCATTAGATATATATTGAATTGTTTGTGTATTTCATTAGTCAAATTTTACATCAGGGCCTTTAAGGAAAATCAGAATACAATTGAGCTATTATGGGTATATATGGGAGTTGCAAATAGAGAAATGGTTTAAAACAAGGAATGGAAGAACTTATTCCTCAATTGAGCTTGCTTATTAATGGGATGTTTTTCTAAGATCCTGAAAGGGAAAAATGGCATATGTAATTTCTAGATTTGGGCACAAACACACACAAATTTTTCAGGGAAGGGGGGATTGCCAAACTGGAGATGAT